AAGTGCTCAGCTGGTTTATGTCTATGCATTTGTTTGTGTGACAGACTCTGGCCATAGACCTCGAGTGCCTCAAGGGCAGAATCGTCACCTTCTTTCAATCACTAATATCTGGGCTCAAATTCAAAAGTTTGTCAATGGGCCCGAGTAGTGGCGAGGGGGTGGAGCTGCCACCTGCGATTGCCAGCATCCCATATGTGTCCCAGCTGTTCCACTGTTAATGCACCCGGGAAAGAAGATGGCCCCTGCCACACATGTGGAAGACCCGGAAGAAGCTCCTGGCTCCTGGCTTCAGCCTGGCCCAGCGCTGGTCATTGTGGTCATCTGGGGAGTGAACCAGTAGATGGAAGACCTCTCTCTCTCTCTCTCTCTCTCCCTCCTTCTCTCTGTAATTCTGACTTTCAAAATAAATCTTTATAAACAAAAAAGTTTGTCAACACTCACCTCATGCAGACATCCAACTTTTTTTTTCTTAGTTTATTTGAGAGACACACAGAGAGAGCTTCCATCCACTGGTTCACATCCCAAATGTCCCCACCAGCCAATGCCGCGAGCCGGGAGCTCCACCCAGGTCTCCCATGTGGGTGGTGGGGACCTAATCTCCCGCTGCCTCCCAGGGTCTGCATTAGCAGGAAGCCAGATCGGGGTGGAGGTGGGGAAGAACCCGCTACTCTCTCGTGGGACGCAGACACGTCAACCCTGACCCACTGGAAGGAGAGTTTCATCCGCTTCCTGGATGTGTCGCAGACGCCGGCCAGCTGTTGAGACGGCAGGAGTGGCCTCGGCGGGCTGGGTGTGTGAGGACCAAGAGCCAGCTCCTAAAGGGGCCACCTTAGGCTGCGTGGCTGAACGCCAGGTCACAGCAGAGATCAGGTGCCGGGAAGCCCGACCTGGGCGGCCCAGGGGCCCTATCTAGGTGTTGCAGGGGACACGGGGATCGCAGTGCCTCTGGACACCCCTGTGTGCAGGGGAGGGTCTGTCAGAGGGCGTTCTGCACACGTGGACTCAGGCGGCTGCTCCAGGCCTGCACCTCTCCCGCTGTTTCCCCAGCGAATCCACAGGGCCTCTGCGTGCCCCAGCCTTCTCTCTTCCGCCCTCCCTATCCTCCCATCCTGCTGACTCCGTGTAGCCTACATCTTCCCCAGACGGCCAGAGGGGAGGGACCCAATTTAGGTAACAAGGTTATTATCAGTTAATTTCCTGCGGTGGCTCCTAATTGCAAAGAAAGAGAGGAAAGAGGCTCATAAACATTCCCCTGGCCTCCCCTCCACGGGCAGACAGGCAGACCCTTCCTAGCGCTCTCTCTGCATTCCTGCTCTCTACCTGCTTTGTCTGCTGGGGGAAGCCCGGCCCGGCCTGGGACTCGCTCCACAGAAGCCACCGAGAGGCACATATATTTCGTGTCAGGGTGGGTGCAAGGAGGAAGCACAACCCAGAGGGCTCCAGGCAACTTCCTTCACGATTTCATCTCTGAGTGTCCTGCTACTCCACAACTCAGCACGCTGGCACACGTCAGCAGCACTGATGCTTGGTCCCCAGTTCACAGAGGCACACAGCAGTCAGGCCTCGGCTCCCTTCTCTCCTGCAGGGAGGGGCGGGCTCTTAGAGAGGACGCAGGTGGAGTGGCCCCGCCCCAGGCTGGGCAGGCAGTCCAGCACTTGCTGATGGAGACCCTGAGCAGTGGGTGCCAGACGGCAGGGGGGAACGGGGAACATGCAGTCTGGATGGGAAAATCACCCCCGGCAGGGGAGCGACGCCAGGGCCCAGAGTCCGAGACAGCAGGGCCACAGAGAGGCAGGAAGGGCTCCGCCAGAGCGGAAGCAGTGGGAGTCGCTGGGGCTGAGCAGGTGCCCAGCTGGGCAGCAGCAGGGCCCCGTGGGCAGTCTTGGAGCCGATACCCAGCATATCGAGGATTCGTGGCCGTGCCTGCTGGGTGGGACTCCCCCTTAGCAGAGGAGCCCAGTACAATGCCCCAGCATGACACGCAGCCACTTGCTGCAGGCAGCTGGGGACGTAGATGCCGTGAGTGGCCCAGCACTCGCCCCCTGAAGTCTGGCAATGCCAGTGACAGGGCCGATGCCTGCCAGCCGGAGCACCGAAAGGTGGAAGGTCAAGGTCAAGCTCCAGGAGAGAGCCAGACCTGGACATGGTCAGAGAGAGGAATTGGGTGGCGAAGTGCCCAACCAGGGCCTCACAACGCCACCCAGCAGATGGTGGGCCCCTTCCCCGAGTCGGCCCACTCACTCCCAGGGCCCCCCAGCCAGCATCAGCCTCTTCCAGACCCTCAGACCTTCCTCTTCTGCCTTCTACCAGCCCCATCTGCCCGTCCTGGGCCTCTGGAGCCACAGCCCACAGCCACGGTCACCATCTGGGGTGCAGGTGGCCACGGGCCGCCCCGCCTCCAGGAGTGGTCGCTGCGTCCTGCCTTGCCCAGGCCCGCGCTGCTGCCAATACAAGATCTTTCTAAAGCACAGCTCCAGGCACAAGCTGCCCACGTCACGGTACTGACAGCTCGGAAGCGCAACCCTGCAGCCACACCTCGCCTCCACACAAGTCGCCGCTCCGGCTGCTGGCCGCCCGGCCTCAAGCTCCTGGAGACATCGGCAGCTTCGCACCCTCAGCGCATGGTGATGTCCACTGGGTGCACGGCTGGACGCAGATGGTGGGCTTCCCTCGTTATCACAACGAGGAGAGTCAGAGAGGCGAGGAACTTCCCGGTGCCACGCAGGCTGCGTCCTACCTCCGGCCACCCACAGAGCCTGGGAAGAGCCAGGACACAAGAGCAGTGGGACCCTGGGCCAGGCAGCGGTCTGCACGGGGCAGGAGGCAGCAGGCGGGGAAGGCAGCCAGTGGGAGGGGCTCAGGAGTTCAGCAGCTCGAAGAGCAGGAGCCGCTGCCAGCCTCGCCCAGGTGGGGGTGGGGGTCAAGGACTCGCCTCCCCCAGGAACCATGGTGGGGCTAGAGGCGCTGGGCCAGAGTGAGGACAGCACCTGGGCTGTGCAGGTCGTAAAGCCCAGGGCGCTGCGTGAGCCCTGACAAAAAGGGGACCCCGTCGCACCCACACCCCTCTCAGGAGGAGAAATCTGGGGACACAGAGGCTGGGCCCTTGGTCTGTGAAAACCTCAAATCCCAGCTCAGCTGGAGAAATCTGGGCTTCATGGGGGAGAAGTGAAAACCCGGAGAACCCCATTCTCCCCAGCTCCCACCCCTGCCCCAGCCTTCAGAGGCCAGTGGCTCCCCCTATACACACCTTAGCCCCACCCAGAAGCCCTGCCAGCCACACCCACTGCTCTTCTGCCCTTGGCCTCTTTGCCTCTCCCCTGGACGTGGAAGGCCACCTCCCTCCTCTCTCAGCGACTGGGGGAACAGGGGAACCTGTCTTCCATCATCAGCCACCTCGCCCTGGGCCTGGCCCCAGCCCCATGCCATCCACCCTTGCTGCCTAGAGCTTAGGGCTCCAGCGCCCAGCGGGAGGCGGCTATGCCATGGCTGGCCCTTCCGTTTTGTCAGCTGCTGCCCGATGACAGCGAGCAGGGCCCAGGAAAGCACGGGTGACACTGCTGGCCCTGCCCAGCAGTGCCCAAGTCCAGCCTTGCTGAGCAGCTCTGTGCGCGCCCTGCTGGGAGCTGGGGGAGCTCGGAGAAGGGCAAGTCACTGGGCTCGGAGCACCGACCTGGGTCCCCCGTGCCCCCAGAGGAAGGCACGCTGGGGCCCGGGGTAACAAGGCGGCCCCAGGCACCATGTTGGAGCTGCCCATCCTCACTCAGGGTGTCTCTTCCTTTGTGAGACCCCAGGACCCAGCCGGGGGCTCCGCACATCAGCCCTGGCCCAGATCTGGGGGCTCAGTGACAGGGGTGGCAGCTGGCCAAAGGCTGGTAGTGGAAAGCAACAGGGAAACTTCGCAGAAAACACACCCCTCCCCTTCCCCGAGCCCACCCCTTCTTCTGCTAGCCTGGCCTGGCTGCAGGGCACAGAGGAGGAACTGGAGAGGGCTGGGATCCAGCACAGACAGCCCGGGGCCCTGGCCACCCACTCCCGCGCCCCTGGCAACACGGAGCCCCATCATCAGGCGCTAATTAAATCCCCCTAATGAGGAAAGAAGGATTCAGGAGCCGGCTCCGCCGTGGCCGCCCCGGCCCACCGCCCTCGCCTCTCCATCGGACTTATCGCTCGTCACAGGATGTTTACAATAATTTTTAATTTGTGCAATTATTAATCACTTTTCTATCTGCCTCATTTGCATAATAATTAGTCATCTCACTGTTTGGCATGCCTGTGAATGACAGTGTTTTAAATTGAATTAAGATTTTAATATTCTATTTTCCTGCTTTCTTCCCCCTCCATGCGCTAATCAAAGTCAGATTTGGCAGCTGGAGAGAGGGTGGGGAGGAAGCTGGCAGGCCCCGGCCCTGGCCTGCTCTGCGCCCCTGACAGCAGTGCTGGGAGGAGGCCCCGTGCGGCGAAGGTAACAGCAGCCGCCTCTCACCAGAAACCTGGCACTTGAGGGGTTAACCCCGCATGGCTACCTGGGTGACAAGGAGCAAAGGCATGGGGGGAGTCTGGCCCAGTGGCATCAGGGGTCAAGAACTGTACTTTCTTTTCTTTCAGTTTCCAGGCAGGCATTGGCATGCACACTGCAGAGCAGCCACTGATCCCTGGTTTCTAGCCCAGGTCCCCTCCAAGGGACCTCAGAGCCCTGGGGTGGCCTCACGGCCATTCCCCTGGTGGGGGGAGCGAATCTCTAGATGCTGCAGTTGAGCCTGGCTCCCCTTCTCCATCCAGACAGCCCCAGGCCCTTTGCCCAGGCAGAATCTTGAAGACCTGCACCAGGGAGTGTGACGGGACAATAAGCAGGAGCCGGGTGCTACGAGTTGATGCATCTCAGCTCGCTCTTCTGACTGCCCTGAGAGCTCAGCTCCAGCCGAGAAGGGGGCCCTGCCCTATCTCAGCCTCCCGCTGCTGCTGCTGGCTTGCCTGCGTGTTGCCATGGCAATCCCCTGGCTACCAGGGATACCCATTGCTGCTCTAGAATTCTCTGCTGAGGCCTGGCAGCTCTGCCTGCAGCCACTTAGAACATCTCGCCCTTCACCATGGTGTGAACACCAGCACGGAGTCTGCCAAGCTTGGTCCTGGCCTTGCCCTTCAGGTGAGCAGGAAGACGAGCCCAGAGCCAGGGATCAGTGCAGGGCAAACAGCCACGGGCTAGGCCAGTGCCGCTCAGCACCCCAGCAACAACGCTTTCTTTCCTCTGGCCAGCCCCCTCCTCCCACGAGCAGCAAGGTCTCCCACCCTGCACTTAGGGGTGCAGGGAGGTCCCTAGATTGGGGGGGGGGGAGTTAGTCTGACCGCCAGCATTAGAACTGGGGTGGGAGGGAGAGCGCTAGAAGTCTCCAGAAACCTTTCTCTTTCACAGGGCCCCCGGCTGGCCTGAGTTGCCCACCTGCAAGCCAGCCGGTGGGGTCAGGAAGAGGAGGTGTTCCACGGGTCCCCTCTGGCCCAGAGTGTCCCTGGGCTGACCCAGGAGCCCTCCTGCCAATGCATCCAATTGTTGGTCTAGCGAAGCGGGACTAGGAACCGGCCTGAAGGCCCAGGAAGAAGGTTCACTAGAATCCAGGAAAGGCCCTGCCCTAACCAGAGGTGACAGGGAGCTGTCAAGAACCTAGCAGGCCCTAGGGCTTTGGGCCATGTCTCCAACCTGAACTAGAAGCAGCACACGGTCTGCTTATCCCATTGTCCACCAGCCCAGATGAGCAAGGCCTCGGGACCCCAGCTCTGTCCCACAGTTGACTGCAGCCTCCACAGCCCACTTCCTCCCACAGCCCTCAGACGGCGGGCAGAGCCCTGTAGGTGGTAGGACACTAGCCAGGGCTTCAGTAGCCCCTGCTGGCCGCTGTGGCCTTCATAACTCATCCTGGGATGCAAAGAAGGCCCAGGGGTTCACTGAGCTCCAGTTGACTGTGACAAGCCTGGTTGACACCTGTCACCCCAGCCTGTTTATGATAGCAATGCGCGTAATGCACGTGCTCTCACAAGCATCCTAGTCTGGGTGATAAGCTAAATGGCCCCAAATTGCAGCCATCTTGGGAGTCCCAGAGAGCCCGGGGGACAGGTGGAGAAACAGCCTGGAGACCCCAGCCCTGACTCCAGCGCCAAAGAGAAGTGAGGTTTCCCGCTTTGAGTCAACACCATAGGAGGACTTTCAGAGCCTCGGCCACTAAGCCAGGGCAGAGGCATCACCACATACCTTCCTGGGGGAGGAAGGCGTGCAGAAAATGCAGGGAACTACTTCACAGAGGGAACAGAGAGATGGAAGAAGAGCAGAGGCCGTGAGAGGGAGTAAAATGCATTACTCCATATGTCCAGAAGATGGCAACACCGAGCAGCCTGACAGCCCACATCCGAGGCAGCCTGGTGGCCCCGGGAGGCTCTGAGTACCTACCGCTTCTCCCTTCTGCAAAGCCCATCTTCCCCTTTATCTGCTCTCCATCTGCTGCGCCCTCGATGACTCAGCCTAAATCACAGAATCAAGACATTAAACCACTTCACAAGCTCCACCCCCTTCCCTCCCCAAGAACCAAGGAAGAGAAGCCAGAGCCATCAGCTCCGGCCAGCAGGGCTCTGGGTCCCTTGCGCTTGCGCAGACGACTGCATAACACAGGGCTCCCCAGAACCCCTTTTCTCTCCACCCATCGGGTAGGGAGTTCCCAAGTACAGAGGCGCAGGAACCACTGCCGTTTTCCGCGGGGGTCACAGAAACCCAAAATCTATGTGCTGTCATTCATTCAGAGACGTGAATGCGAGTTAGCCGTGGAGTAACAAATGCACTCGCAGTCACGGGGTGCGGTGGGGGGAGCAGCATCTGGGGCCCAGGAGGAGAGCAGCCCCAGTCCCACTCCGCACAGCCTTGTGGGGCGGTGAGAAGGGAGTCTGGCTGGTGCAGGCGGCTGCTCCTGCACGGTCCTCCCGCCTGAATCCCCACTCCACACAGGCCAGGTCGAGCGGCTTGGAGCGGAGCTGAGTGGCCGCCCGGCCTCGGTCACGTGCCCCCTCCAGCCCACGCCAAGGCTGTGCAAAGCAAGCACATGACTGGGCTCATTTGGGATTTTATCCCCTTCTTCCCCGTGCAGAAGAAAAGGAAAAAAAAAAAAAAAGGCTCCCAGAATCCCAAGGAAGATTTCCACCCACACTGGCACGTCACTAACAAGAGGGCTGCTGGGCTCAGGAGTTGGCACCAGCCCGATTTTTACCTGCTCGGAACCACGAACTAGCATCCGGCTCAACTCAACTCAGGCTTACTGGACTCCTCCCCTAGGCGGGGCCTGGTGCTGCACGCTGCAGGCTGTGGTCTCTTCTGGCTGGGGGAGAAAATCAGCACAACTCCCAGGGTCAGGTATGTGAGCATGTCATGGGACAAAGCCTTGGAGGCTGGGGAGGCCCCCGCAGGGAATGGCACTTGGGTTGGGTCCCAAAGGCTTTGCTAGGACAGGGAGGAAGCACAGGCGGGAGCAGTCCCTGCGGGGAGCAGAGGCCCGTGAGGGGGTGTTCACGGGTACATCCCACCAGCTCTCCAGAGAGGCAGGCAAGAGGTGGGTGGGTCAGGACAGGAGAGAACGCCAAGGAGATTGGACGCATCCTGTGGCCAAGCACTTCATCCTGGACATGCTTTTCCAGGGACCCTCTGCCCACCCCCCATGGCTGGGATTCCCAAACTTCCCCCACTGTCTCCAGGAAAGCCACAGCACCCCCTGTGGCTGGGCCTGGGCTGGCCGGAAGGGCCTCTGCAGGGGCATCTGATAGGAGGGTCCTGTGCGCTAACGGGACTGCACACAGGGCAGTCCCCCCGCCGGGCAGGGACAGGACCAAGGAGCTGGCAGGAGTGCTCTGACCTCTGCCACCTGGAGGAAGCACTTCCGGGCTCATCCATTAGCCTTGGTTTATGGAAACATGAGCATCAGCTTTGCTGGGTGGCTGGGAGGCGAATGAAAGGAGTGTGTGCATTTAGTGCCCAGAGCTGTGCTGCTGGTTCTGGGGTGTGTGCCTTGGGCTGGGAGATGGGGGTTGGGTTGAAAATGAGTAAGACAGGGGCTGGCACTGTGGCATAGTGGGCTAAGCCTCAGCCTGTGGTGCAGGCATCCCATACGGGCGCCAGTTTGAGTCCCGGCTGCTCCACTTCGGATCAAGCTCCCTGCTGATGGCCTGGGAAAGTAGCGGAGGATGGCCCAAGTGCTTGGGCCCCTAAATCCACATGGGAGACCCAGAGGAAGCTCCTGGCTCCTGGCTTTGGACCAGCCCAGCTCTGGCCGTTGCAGCCATCTGGGGAGTGAAGCAGTGGATGGAAGACCTTTCTCTCTTGTCTCTTCCTCTTTCTATGTGTAACTCTGCTTCTCAAATAAATAAAATCTTTAAAAAGAAAATGAGTAAGACAGCTGCTGGCCATGGGACCTCACTGTCCTCCGCAGAGCATGGCGCCTGCTGCCCTGGGAGGGCTGTGAGAACTCAGAGAAGGGCTGCACTGGCAAGCCTATCCTGCACTGGGAGCGTGCACGAGTCTCCACTCCAAGGTCTGGGCAGAAACTGGGCAGACGGGGCCCGTGGAGCACCCTCTGTATCCCTGGGGATCCCAGCACCTCGGAGGGTTGCCCGAGAGGGGCTCCATCTCTGTCGACACTTTCTCTTTAGTTCCCATCAACAGACTTCCCAAACCGGGCCTCAGACGCCAAGTGTGCAGCATGAGGTCAGGCCGGCCAGGCTGAGCTGAGCCCCAGCGGCAGGCATGGGACCAGACAACCCCACTGTGGCCTCCTCCTCTCCTGCACCGAGGAAAACCAGGACCAGGGCAGCGTCCCACCACCTTTCTGGACAGAAAGCGCGAAACAAGCAAGTGGCGTTCCTAGAGGCTAGAGGTAATCAGACTGTGCCCAAAACACCCACGACGCTAATAAGAGGTGGCAACACAGCTTCCTTCCTCTCCCAGCCCGTGGAAAGGAAGCGTGGGAACTCGCCAGTGGTCAGCGCAGTAGGAATCAAGGGTGTGGTACGGCCTCCAGGGAAGCTAACTCAGTCATAGACACAGTGTTTAAAATATAGTATCTTGGAGCCGGCGCTGTGGCACAGCAGGTTAGGCTGTAGCCTGCGATACCAGCATCCCATATGGGTGCCAGTTCAAGTCCTGGCTGCTCCACTTCCAATCCGGCTTCCTGCTATTATGCCTGGGAAGGCAGCAGAAGATGGCCCACATGCTTGGGCCCCTGCCATCCACATGGGAGACCTGTATAAAGCTCCTGGCTCCTGATTTCAGCCTGGCCAAACCCTGGCCATTGAGGCTCTTTGGGGAGTGAATCAGCTGTCTCTCCCTCTAGCAGTACCTTTCAAATAAATAAATCTTAAAAAACAAAAACCACCAATGGGGGCAAGCATCTGTCCTAGGGATGATGTTGCTGCCTGGTTTAAGTCCCAGCTCCGCTCCCAATTCCACCTTCCTGCCAATGCACACCCTGGGAGGCAGAGGTGATGCTTCCCATAGTCGAGTCCCTGCCCCCCATGTGGGAGATCCAGAGTGGGTTCCAGGCTCCTGGCTTCAGCCTAGCCCAGCCCCTGCTGTTGTGGGCATTTGGGGAGTGAACCAGCAGATGGGAGCATGTTCTCTTTCCCTCTGCCTTTCAAATATATAAAATGTGCACACTGGTGTGAGCCGTGCTCTGGGGAGAACGGCGCCTCTGCTCTGACTGGAGAGCCCAGGGTGTGATGGCAGGGAAGTCGGTGTGGGGTGCAGGGCTGGCAGACCAAGGGCGGCCCAGGGACTGCGCGTGTTAGCTGGGCCCCACAGCTCTCTGAGCGCCGGGATGGGTGACAATTAGCTCTGCAGGACTAGAGCTGAGAAATGGACTAAGAAATACTTCAAAACCAGTGAGCGGGAGACACACTCAGTACAGCTGGGAGCAGGCAGACCCAGACGCCCGAGGGGCTGCAGCTCAGGCACACACACAGCAGAGGGCACAGCTGGACCTGAGGCTGGCTGCAGAGACAGGGCGCAATGACCTCCAGGCCTGTGTCACGCTAATCACCTGGGCCCAGCTGCCGGCACAGCGGTTTGTGCTGGGGACGCACTGCCTCCACCTCCTCTCCCACAGCCAAAGCAGTGGCTTGCAGAGAAGGCCCTCAGCAACCTGAGACCCCAGAGCCGAGGCCAGTTTGCTCACACACAGGCAGCCCCGCTCAGGAGCTGGGAACAGAGGGTAGGGCTGGTGGGTCAGAGTGCCCCGCCCCCGGGCATCCCTGTGTGCTGTGGCTGTGGGTGAGTGTCCTCCAGTCACACCCCCATGCACACTCAGTGTCTCCCTCTCACTCCCCTCCTAGGTTCCAAAGCTCCGGCTCTCTGCTTCCCTTTCTCTGAGGCCGGGTGGGCGGGGAGAGGAAGACAGGGGTGCCTCCCACCTCCGGCTCTGCTCTGACCTCAGGGGTTCAGTCACAGCCCTCCCCACCAGCCTCCTACCATCCTGCAGGACACCCGCCCACCTCAGAGTGTCACCTCCTTCACAGGCCAAAAAGCTGCCCATCCTCTCCCGACCCCCCACCCTTGAACCTCAGACCCTGGAGTTCTAGTTGCATCCACAAGTGGCCAGCAGAGGGGGCCACCTTTTCCTCCTCTACCCAGAGAGCTGGAGGAGCCTCCTCTAGGTCCTGTGGGAGGAGCCTGGGGCTCTCCCTGTCTTGCACTCCCCGCTCTTTCTGCTGCCCCTTAGGAGACCCGGACAGCACAACTACAGTGCCAAGCCCGCGGGCGGGGTGCCCTCCATCGTGGAGCCCAGCATGGCCTCTCTCCATGGTAAGCCTCCCCACCCAGGCCAGCATGGCCTTCAAGGCCAAAGAAACTGGAAATTATCATTAGCAATAACTGCCTTTGAGATGCCGTGTGCCCTCTGATGGGGACAACCGTGCCCTCACCCCAGTTTTACGGGTCCCTCTTCTCTGCTCAGTGGGGCGGGGGTGGGGGTGGCGGGGAAGAACCACTGAGTCACCAACCACTACTCCTCCCCTGCCCTAGACCCTGGCCCTCCCGGGGACAGAGCGCACTGCCTGCTCGTCCACTCTGCTTCAAACAGCTCGGTCCTCAATCCCACCCAGGAGGACACCCTGGCCCCCCAACCACAGCCAGGCAACAGTGGCCCCGGTGTCCAGGTAAGGCCAGGAGTGAGGCGAGAGTGGGTGGTAGACAGAGCTGCAGCAGATGCTAGTCAGAGGGCAGAGGCAGAGGGCGCGCCTCGCACTGCTGCTCCAGAGCCACCCAGAGACTCAGACAGGGAAGTTAAGCAACTCGCTAGAAGACAGCAAACACCTGAGAGGGGAAGGCCAGAGGGACTCCCCCTGAAGACGGTGCACCTCCCACAGGGGGAGCAACAGCCCGGAGAGTCAGAAGCCCAGGAGGAAATAGCCCCAGGAGACATTAAATACCGCCTGGAGCCCCTGGCCAAGGCTCCCCTTCAGACACAGCCCCCCAGCTCCTGCAGCCGGTTCCACAAGCCTCAGGGGTCCCCCTTCAGGACGGCCTATGGATTTGAAAGCGGCAAGCCCTGGAAGGCAGAGCCCACGCCTTCCCGTGGGGAGCAGCCCTCCCGCCCAGGTGAGACCTGGCCTGGTAAGCGGGGACAAACGTGCGGCACTATGTGAAGCAGAATCCAAGCCCTGTTTCCACCACCTCCCAGCACCCTACCCAGGGCCACTCCTGTCCCCCACGCAGACGCCAGAGCTGGCAACCAGCAGCCCAGACACAGCAAGGAGCACGGGCCATGGCCCTCGCTCTTCAAAAGCCCTGCAGGCAGGAAACCCTTGTTCCAGAAGGAACCATACCAACCCCCTCAACCTGGCCTCCCCTCCTATCCGCTTTGGTGATCCAACTAGGGCTGGCAGGCCCCTCTGGAATGCTTTGGTCTTGGGGAGGAGACAAGCAAAAGATCAGAGAGTGGTGGAGGGCACAAAACTGAGACACTTTAGGTCCCCATCAGACAAAAGGAGGTTGGGGGAAGGCTCAGCAAAGAGCAGGTGCAGCTCAGGGGAGGCCGGCCACGTGGTCCAGATTCCCTGAGGGTGATCCCCTCCGCACACCCTCTCCTCCCCTTAGGTGACCACAGTATGACCACTGCTCATCAGGTTTCCGTCCACAGCCAGCCTCTTGGGCAGTCAGTGCTCCCAGTTCACATCCAGGGCCAAAAAGTGGCCCCAGCAGCGCGTCCAGGCCACGGGGAAAACGTGAGTCTGCATCAGAGTGACTTGCAAGCCCCAAGGTGGAGGCAAATTGTTGCTCCTGACCCGGACAAGAGCACGCGAGGAATCGAGCCACGGGAACAGCTGCCGAGCTGCAGGGCTGCCGTGCGGGAAGGGGCCCGGGAACAGCCCTGTCTCCTGAGACTAAGGTACTGGCTCAGAACGCTCGCAAAGAACTGGTTACTCTGGGATCCGGGATCCCCTTCTGGCTCAGCTTGCCTTCGGCCTCTCACCTGAGGCTGGAACTCGGGCTGCTCCTCGCTGGGGGTCAGCCCTTCCCTAGGGACCTGGGGGAGGCATGCACCCCAATTGCAAGCCAGGGCTGGAGTAACCAGGCTTATCCGGTGCTCGAGAACGTCCACTTGCCTGTCAGGGCTCGAGTGGCCTGCTCCTGGCCCCGACTCGTTCGGATGAGGTTAAAAGGCCCAGCTCAAACCCACAGCCTGGAGCAGGTGCTTCAAACGCTACAGAAGCCACAGTCCTAGTCCAACAGGGTGGACGGAAGGATCATGTCCACCCCGAAGGGACCAGGAACGCCACTCTTGTGACCAGGACGGCACACCCGCTCCACACTCCTGTGTCCCGGGATCCCAACGGGTGCTTGATAAAGGCTCTCCCCGGCCCGTGCTCGGCTGCGGCTGTCTCACCCCCTCCGCTGAGGGCAGCATGATAACTGAGGGGTGTGAAAAGAAAACAGCCAAACTGAAACTTCATTTTCAGAGACACAGTCCAGGAACTTTAATTTGAAATCCCCTGAAAATATACTGTAGCATTTTAGGCAAACCCAACAAGGAAAGACAGAGAGATGGGCTGGCGTCTGGATCGGCTCTCAGGGCGGATCCCCACAGTTGAAACACGTGTTCCCCATGCAGCAAATACATCCAGTACGCGCGGAGGAACATGGCTTGTGGCTGGCAGCCCACAGCCCACCTGTACCAGGAGCCGCGACCACCAAGGCTGGAGACGGCCATGCTGGGTGGGAGTAACACAGCCAGGCTCGCTGTGGACCCAGTGACCAGGGTAAAGTGTCCAAGTTCTTGGTCAAGAGGTAATCAGCATGAGGGTCGTGCCTGCTCCTTCATGGGAGGGGCAGGGGAAAGGGGCGAGAGCCCAGAAAGACGGGCGACGATGACTTCTGCCTGCTGAGAGGCTGGCACGAGGAGGCCCTGAACGTGCGCTGGGCACACAGTGAGGCTTCAGGAACGACGGCCACTTCCTTCCCAGACACGTGTTCCTCCCTCCCCAGGTGTCTCCTCTACCTCCTCCCAGGCACCTGGTAAAGACACTCAAGGGTAAGTGGCCCTCTCACATCCTCGGGGTCTTCAAAGCCAAGTTCCAAACTGAAACTACCAGCAAGCCATTCTCCCAGGACTGGGGAGCGCAGCCCCAGGTGCGCTGTGGCCCTCGTGACAGAGGCCATGAGAACCCCCCGGTAAGAACTCGGGTGGGCAGGGGTCGGTGCCTGGGCTGCCCTCTCCCCTGGCCCCTCACGCCCAGCGGGGAGAATCAGCAGGGGGAGAGCCCTGTTGTTTAAATTCCTGCTCCTTTCCAACGCACAGTGGTAGGGAGCAAGCTAAGCTCTCCACAGCAGAAGTCCCTCTCTTGCCCAGAGAAACGAACCAAAGAGAACGGGCCTTGCTCCAGCCCTTGGCGGGCAGGGGGTGCTGAGTATGACCTGCAGAGAGGGACAGACTCCCCTCCTTCTAAACTCACTGCTCTCACCCCCTCCCTCTGGGGTGGGCTCACAGGCACCAGCTGAGGTTGGAGCGACCACCAGGACCGCCTACCTGCCCTTGTTTTCTGAAAGGGTGAAGCTGTGTAAACCCAAGATCAACAGCGACAAGCTTGAGCCAGGCGATTTGTCACCTGAGCACAGGTACGAAGGACAGCCGGTCACTCCCAGACACGGCGGTGCAGCTCCTGCGCCAGGCGGCCAGTGGCGGAGGAGACGTGCCTCGGCTCCAGCCCAGCCCCGTCCTCTCCCTGCCTATTTCCACAGGCCAGTCCAGCTGCCCGAGATCCGGTTCCCTAAGTACCTATGCCTTGAAAACAGAAGAGCAGGGGAAAGGGCCTTCCCAAACATCCTACGCAGAAGTGCCCAGTTCAGGACACACATCTCCTGACCGGCGAGCTGCCTGAAGGCCGGGACCCCCCTCTCTCACAGAGACTGCCCAGCGTGCTCTAACCCTCGTCCAGCTCTCTCTGCTGCCATCCGAGCACAGGGGAGGACCTGCCTTGGAAAGCAGCGATGCACCATGGCCCAGAAGGTGTGTGTTTCAGGACCGAGGAGGAAGGAGGTCAGAGCAAGTCCCTCTTCCCCAGGAACCCGTGCGCCCGCCAGTCAGTACCACCGACGAATTACATGCTATTGGAGCCACAGTCTGTTCACTGGTACTTCTTTCTTCATTCTTTTTTTTTAAGATTTATTTATTTTACTTGAAAGTCAGAGTTACACAGAGAGAGAAGGAGAGGCAGAGAGAGAGAGAGAGAGAGAGAGAGAGAGAGGTCCTCTGTCCACTGGTTCACTCCCCAGATGGCTGCAATGGTCGGAGCTGCACCGATCCGAAGGCAGGAGCCAGGAGCTTCTTCTGGGTCTCCCACGCAGGTGCAGGGGCCCAAGGACTTGGGCCATCTTCTACTGCTTTCCCAGACCATAGCAGAGAGCTGGATCAGAAGTGGAGCAGCTGGGTCTTGAACCAGTGCTCATATGGGATGCCAGTGCTGCAGGCAGCGGCTTTACCCGCTACACCACAGCGCCGACCCCTCTTTCTTCATGTTTTTACAGATATGATTCACATGCCCTAAGTTCACCCTTTTAACTTAGACAATGCAGCCTAGACCTGGGAATGGAGGCGGCCTAGAAAAGGAAGGGAAGCCAGTGGGTCTGAATTTGATTAAAACAAAAATCTTCTATGTTTCCAAAACTCCAGCAAGGGATTTATTTTTGAACATTTACTTACTTATTTTGTTTATTTAAAAGCCCAGGAGAGCGAGAGAGAGAGCGAGCGAGCAAAAGAGAGTGGGCACTCCTATCTGCTGGTTCACTCCCCAAAATGCTTGAACAGCAGGGGCTGGGTCAGGCTGAAGCCAGGAGCCAGGAACTCCATCCGGGTCTCCCACATGGGTGGCAGCCATCACTGCTGCCTCCCAGAATGCACATTGGCAGGAAGCTGGGTTGGAAGCAGAGCAGCCAGGACTGGCATCAAGCCCTCTGATGTAGGATGTCGCTGTCCTAGCCACTGGCTCAGCGTGCTGCACCTACCCCTGGCAGGGGAGAGTCCTTTAAAAAACCCATTTATTTATTTATTTCACTGGCAGAGTGATTGGGGGATGGGAGAGACAGAGACAGACAGAGAGATCTTCTATCCACTAGTTCACTCCTCAAATGACCATAACAGGCCGGCGCCGCGGCTCAATAGGCTAATCCTCCGCCTTGCGGCACCGGCACACCGGGTTCTAGTCCTGGTCGGGGCACCGGATTCTTTCCCAGTTGCCCCTTTTCCAGGCCAGCTCTCTGCTGTGGCCCGGGAAGGCAGTGGAGGATGGCCCAAGTGCTTGGGCCCTGCACCCCATGGGAGACCTGGCTCCTGCCTTCGGATCAGCACAGTGCACTGGCCTCAGCGCGCCAGCCGTGGCGGCCATTGGAGGGTGAACCAATGGCAAAAGGAGGACCTTTCTCTCTGTCTCTCCCTCTCACTATCCACTCTACCTGTCGAATACACAGAGAAAAACATATAGAAAAAGAAAAAGAAAAAAAAATGACCATAACAGCCAGGTCTGGGCCAGGCCAAAGCCAGGAGATCAGAACTCCACCGGGTGGCAGGGACTCAAGTACTTATGCCATCCTTGCTGCTTTCCCAGACACATTAGCAGGAAACTGGAGCGGAAGCAGAGCAGCAGGGACTCAAACCTGCACTGCCATGTGTTGCCAATGTCACAAGCAGTGGTTTAATCCACTGCATCATGCCAGCCTCCACCCCACCCCAAGTAAAAGAATCTGATCAAAACCCAACTACTAGGTCTTTCTGGAAGATTTTTACCATATTGAAGATCTAAGGTAGGGGTAGGAAGCAGAGGAATATGCAGCTGGGTTTAGCCGCACCTCTACCCCTGCGAAAGTCCAAGGCCTGTTATTCCAAAGCACCTACAGACCCAGGCCACAAAAGGCGTCTCACACTGCCCTCTAGCAGCCAGCCTAGGACACGACAGCTGGCTGCAAGCCGGACAGGCTAGGGGTCTCCCACCTGTGCATGCTATTTTCACACTGACAGGAATGCAGAGAAACTGGAGGCAGGGAGAGTTTACAGATTTTCACTAGTGTCTGTCAAACACAGAGCTCACCTGGAACAGAATCTATCTGCTTCATCTATACCTCAGTGTCGGCTTGAAAACAGACAATACTTTTGTTAAGGAAAAGGGGAAGTGATTACAGACTTTTAGGTGTGAGGGTTTGGCTACAGCAGTAGAGGCACCACCCGGGACACACGCGTCCCACATGAGAGCGCCTGGGTTCAAGTTCTAGCTCCACTTCTGACTCCAGCTCTTGCTAACGTGCAACCTGGGAGGCAGCAGGCAATGGCACCAGTACTTGGGTTCCTGCCACCCACACAGGAGACCTGGATTGAATGTCTGGCTCCTGGTTTCAGCCTGGCCCAGCCCTGATCATGTGGGAAGTAAGCCAGCACTTGGAGATCTGTCTGTCTGCATTTCAAATACATTCAAACATTTTATAAGTAGTAAAATAAAATAAAAAAAAAACTGTATAAAGCATCAGGGCCTCTCAAAGCAAATTGTTCCCGAGAAAGTGTGGGGCCTCACAAAAATAAAGTCGGAGCCTGAACCACACAGAACCAAAACCTGGCTGTGCAGAAGGGTGTGGCAAGAGCCTAGGGGTTGAATGCACTCGCCGCCCCCTCTGCCCAAGGCAGGGGCAAAGGAGCCTGTAAAAAGTAAAAACCTGCAGTAGAATCCAATTTCCAGAGCCTGTATTTCTTGAGGCTTTTAAAAATAAGCCTTTTATTTTGTAGTAATTTTACATTTACAGAAAGTCACAGAGAAGACTACAGAATCTCATGTACTCGTCTCCCAATTCCTCAAACTACATCTTTTACAACCGTACTACTCTCAACACTAAGAGATCTACACTGGCCCACTTCTAGGCACTAAACTTTTTTTTAAGATTTATTTTATTTATTTGAAAGACAGAATTACAGAGAGAGGTAGAGACAGAGAGAGAGGTCTTCCATCTGCTGGTTCACTCCCCAGATGGCTGCAACGGCCAGAGCTGCGCTGATCCAAAGCCAGGAGCCAGGAGCTTCTTCCGAGTCTCCCATGTGGGTGCAAGGGCCCAAGGACTTGGGCCATCCTCCACTGCTTTCCCAGGCCACAGCAGAGAGCTGGATTGGAAGTAGAGCAGCCTGGTCTCGAACCGGTGCCCATATGGGATGCCAGCACTTCAGGCCACAGTGTTAACCCACTGCGCCACAGCGCTGGCCCCAACGCACCAAACTCTTACATTTTGTTTGGATTACACTAGTTTCTCCCCTTTTGTTCTAACCTTGAACCTTTAAAAAATGATTCAAAAGCCTGTACTGTGCATAGTGGGTAAAGCCACCACCTGCAGTGCCAGAATCCCATGTGGGCGCTGGTTTGAGATCCGGCTGCTCTACTTCCAACCCACCTCTCTGCTATGTCCTGGGAAAGCAGCAGAGGATGGCCCAAGTCCTTGGGCCCCTGCACCCATGTAGGAACACCCAGAGGAAGCTCCTGGCTCCAGGCTCCTGGATTTAGATCAGCACAGCTCAGGCCATTGTGTCCATTTGGGAAGTGAACCAGCAGATGGAAGATCTCTCTCTCTCTCTGCCTCTGTCTCTCTGGAACTCTTTCAAATAAATCTTTTTTAAAAAATAGAAAAAGTGATTTGAGTTAGGAGCCGATAGACAGACAGGCAGTGTGGCTCGGGGAAAATGGCACTGAGTTCTGGCCCCCGCTCTGCCATGTGCGTGCGGCAGAAGCTACGTTTCCTTTCCGGGCTCTCAGAGTACTTCCATCTCACAAATGCTGGCTCCGGACACAACTCAGTCCCTTCATCTCCCTGGCTTCACTTCTGCCACCTCCGAGCCAGCGCCGGGAGAGACATTCCTAACTGGGCAGTGACGCCAGGCGACGCTCCCCAGATAAGAGAATGGAGTCCCTTTGGGCTTTGCACATCTCAAAATTAACAGCCTTTCTTGGTAAGTCTGAGAAGCGCAGGATGCTGTGGAGAGGATACCCGGGCAAAAACACCCTCTGTTTCCCTTCTTCCTGGACACACACTGTGTCTGCTAGAGCCCCCTGCATTAAGGGGGAGCCATGCAACATTCCAGCCGGCAGGATCTGAGTGGCAGCGTGTGCCACTTCTAGTGTGCGCCCGTCACGTCAGCTCAACTCACCAGAATGGCAGTGCCCAAGCCAACATGGAACCCTGTTGCAGCTGGCATCAGCCTGGTCCCTCAGTGACCACATAGCATATCCTCCCCCCGCTTCCTCCACTACAAACCACCTGGATGTATAGGAGTGAGGAGGAGGAAGAAACCCCTTCTGTTCAGAGTCTGCTCTAGTAGTTCAGTGCACCCTGACACAGGTAACAACGTCAACTCCATCTGAACAAGACCTGGCTCCGGGAGCCGTGCTTGGGGTCTTACAGGACAAACTGAGTTGACTGCAGGCCTCAGTAATGGCCCACTGTCACTTTCACCCATGCAGGCCTCTGATCCCCTTCACTCTCCTCTCAGTTCCCATACCCTCCCTCACCTAGTCCTATTCCAAAGATTTATTTATTTACTTGAAAGTCAGAGTTACACAGAGAGAGAAGAAGAAGCAGAGAGAGAGAGAGAGAGAGAGAGAGGTCTTCCATCCGATGGGTCACTCGCCAATTGGCTGCAATGGCTGGAGCTGTGCCCATCCAAAGCCAGGAGCCAGGAGCTTCTTCCAGGTCTCCCACGTGGGTGCAGGGGCCCAGGGACTTGGGCCATCTTCTACTGCCTTCCCAGGCCATAGCAGAGAGCTGGATTGGAAGCGGAGCAGCCGGGTCTCAAACCAGTGCCCATATGGGATGCTGGCACTTCAGGCCAGGGTGTTAACCCACTGGGCCACAGCATTGCCCAAGTCCTATTCTAACAAGTTAAGGAGTACAAGGAGGATTCAAGAAGTTCATGGAATATGCTTTTTAAAAACTACACATGTATTTCAATTATTTTTTGTACCAAAGTAACAACTTTTAATTCCATTTTCCATGACCTTTTTGAAGACCCCCCTCACATATCCTCCTTCAAAATAAGATTGTTTTGATTGTTTAAAGTGCTGAGTTCATTTTTGCTGTATCTCAGTACTCCTTATTTTCTCCACCTGGAATCCACCATGTGGCCAAGTTCCTAAAAGCATGCATCTGATTTTTCTTTAAATAACATTCTATCAGAAGCATGTATCACATTACTTTTCACTTCCCTTAGTCGCAGCTATCTACCCTTCTTCCAGCTTGTGGCTGTCTGCACTGCACGTAGATAAACACGCCTGCATGTCAATCCTAGAGGATTGTGCAAGATTCTCTCAAGGATACAGCCAGGAACGGAAGTGCTCTGATGTATGGACATACATACTTTATCAGTTACTGTATGCCAAGTTAGCTACCTTAAATTCAAATTACCTGTCCTAAACGTTTAGTAACTTGGTGCTGGTGCTGTGACGTAGCAGGTAAGGCTGCCACCTACAGTGCTGGCATCAATATGGGTGCCGGTTCGAGACCCAGTTGCTCCACTTCTGATCCAGCTCTCTGCTGTGGCCTAGGAAAGCAGTAGAAGATGGCCCAAGTCCTTGGGCCCCTGCACCCACGTGGGAGACCTGGAAGAAGCTCCTGGCTCCTGGCTCCTGAGAGGCGCAGCTCCAGCCATTGCAGCCGATTGGGGAGTGAACCAGCAGATGGAAGACCTCTCTCTCTATCTCTCTGTCTCTCCTTCTCTCTCTGTGTAACTCTTTCAAATAAAAATAATTTTTTTTAAAAAAAGTTTAGCAACTTAAATAAGTAACAACTCGCAAAGATATATATATCAAGTCCCATATATAAGGGACTTGTAACCAAATATATGAAAAATTCTTTACGTAGGTATGTATGTGTTTATACGTGTCACACACACATGACACAAAAAAAATGTGACAAGGATGTGGAAAAATCAAAACTCCGATTTGTTTCTTCAGAAGAAGTTGACAGTTTCTCAAAAAGTTAAACATTGACTTACACAGGACCAGGCAATTCCACTCCTCAGTATACAGCAGAGGAAATAAAAACAGACATCCACAAAACAACTTCCGCACGAGCTGTCCACAGAAGCATTATTCATAATAATCAACCCAAATGGCCATCCAATAATGTATGGATAAATACAAACATGATCTAAACACAAGGAATATTAGTTAGCCATTAACAGGAAGAGGGTACAGACACATCACAACATGGGTGAACCTTGAAAAGATTATTAAATCCAAGAGGTCAGACCCAAAAGGCCACAGGATCGATTTCCATTCACATACCATACTAAAGTCCAGAACAGGCCCATCTCTGGAGACGGGAAGTAAACTAGTGGTTGCCCAGGCCTGGGGGGGTGGGAAAGCGGGGAATTACTGCTGATGGTACAAGGGTTCTTGTGTCCCCATGGTGACAGAAATGCTTTAAAATCACTGTGATGGTTGTACACCTCTGTGAATGCTAACTCCCGCTGCATCACTTTAAATGGGTCAACTGTGCAGTGTGTACACTGTATTTAAAACACAGTCCCACAGCAGTTTCTCTGAAGCCACTGTAATGCCCCTGCGAAACAAGCAAGGTGCCTCGAGGGGAACACGCCCGCAGACACCTGTCTCAGATGCAGTACCCAGCACAGGGGCCAGTTTCCACCAGACGAGCTTGCTAATGCACGTGTCACGACAGCAAGAGCATCCCTCAGCATCTGAAGGAACAACACTCCGTGTACCAACAAGGAAGAAAACGTGACATGGAGAACATTTTGACTGAGAAATCTTAAAACAGCAAATAAATGGAAATGCATGTAAAAAAAAATACCAAACACCGATTATCTCACAGTTTCTCTGATTTTGGAATTTGAGGTGAGCATTTGGCCTTAACACTTAAGGTGCTGGTTACAACACCCACATCCAACACTGAAGCGCCTGGGTTCAGTTCCCAGCTCCAGCAGATCCTGGAAGGCAGTGGTGATGACTCAAGTGAGTAGATTCCTGCCACCCATGGGGAGACAGACTGCATCCCTGCCTTCCAGCTTGGGTCCCATCCAGGAGCCACTGCTGGCATTTGGGGAGTAAACCAGCAGATGGGAGCTCTCTTCTCTCTTTGCTTCGTCCTCTCTCTCTCCTTCACTTCTTTGATCAATATTCTTTCTTGCCTTAGATTCTGCATTTTGATTGATTGGTATTTATTTTAAAGGCAGATTAACAGACAGATCTTCCATCTGCTTGTTCACTCCTCGAACGTCTGCAACAGTCAAGGCTGGGCCAGGCTGAAGCCAGGAGCCAGAAACTCCATCTGGGCCTCCCACGTGGGTGGCAGGAACCCAGGTACTTGGACCATCATCTGCTGCCTTCCAAGCATATTAGCAGGAAGCAGAGGGGCCGGCGCCATGGCGCAGGTTAATCCTCCATCCCATATGGGCACCGGTTCTTGTCCCGGCTGCTCCTCTTCTGATCCAGCTCTCTGCTATGGCCTGGGAAAGCAGTAGAAGATGGCCCAAGTGCTTGGGCCCCTGCACCCGCATGGGAGACAGGGAAGAAGCTCCTGGTTCCTGTCTTCAGATCAGCGCAGCTCCGGCCGTTGCGGTCATTTGGGGAGTGAACCAACAGAAGGAAGACCTCTCTCTCTGTCTCTCCCTCTCATTGTCTGTAACTCTACCTCAAATAAATAAAATCTTTAAAAAAAAAAAAAAAACAAAAAAAAAACCAGGAAGCAGAGACAGAATTCAATCCCAGGCGCTCTGATATGAGATATTGGTGTGCCAAGCTACATTCCAACCAGCTGTGCCAAACTACCCTTCAGATCCTCAAATAAATAAAAATTTGAAGAAAAAGAATTTGGAGCTGGATGGTTCTGGCTCAGGATTTCTCATGAGATTGGCGTCAAGTCGTCAATCATGGTGGCAAGCGCCTGAAGGCTTGAACAGAGCTGGAGGACCCATTCCCAACGTGGCAACTGGTGCTGCCTGTTGGTGCGAGGCCTCAGTTCTCCTCCCCAGGGGTCTCTTCAGAGCACTGCCTGAGTATCTTCCTGATACAGAGGGGGGCCTCTTCCCAAGCCAGTGACCCAAGAGAGTACAAGCTATATGCTTCAGTGTCTTTTATGACCTAGGCTCAGACGTCACTCATTTCCCGTACATCCTTATTGGTTGCCCACATCAGTGTTCCTCCCTCACTATGGGAGGAAGCTACACAAGAGCTTGTATACCAGAAGGCCGGGATCGCCGGGGACCACTCTGGAAGCTGATGATGACGACAGCAATAACAGCTGATCATCTTTATACTTACTTTATGCTAGACACTATTCGAAGCTTACAATAAATCTATGAGGTAGGTACTATTATCTTGACTTCACTGATGGAGAAAATAAGGTACACGGAAGTTAAGAGCGTACCAAATCTCACAGAGCTAGCGAAGGACACAGCTGGGATTCAGATTCAGGGACCTCAGCTCCAGAGCCACCCTCAGCCAACTGCACCACTGCATGGCAGGCCTTACTTGGTTGCAGGAAGTGTTGTACATTTGTTCTGCAGAACGGATGCACCAGGCAAAATTCCCCACGTTTCCATTCCCCTCAGATTTCAGTTACTTGCTCATTTTTGCCAAACTAACAGATGTAGAGTAGACACTCAGTGTTCTAATTTGCATTCTTCTAGTTACTGGTGAGGGGGTACACTTATTAGCGACTCCAGTTTTCTTGTTTGACTTTGCTTTTCATACTCTGCATATTCTTATTTTGTGTTGTCATTTTCTTCCTGATTTGCAGGAGTTCTTTCTCTAATCAAACCCTTATTTTTGCAAACTCTTGGCATTAGACACCGCAAAGACTTTCTCCTAATTAACATCTATTTTTGAGAGGCTTTGCAGACTAGAAATCTTGTTATAGTCGTCAAAGCTATCAGACCTTAGGGGTTGTGCTTTGGGATTATATTTAAGAAATCAATCTCCACTCCAAAGGCCTGAAGACCCCATTTGTTCTTACTAGCTTTACCATGCTACCCTTCATTCAGGTCAATTGCTCTGGGCTTTCATTTTATAGGGGATGAGCTATGGATCCAACTTTATTTTTGTTCAAATAATATGTAAATTTCTGAGCACCATGATTCATCTCTTCCCCACCAATCTGTGTCACTATCTTTACCAAATGCTGTGTCTTTAAATACTCGCGTGTCTAGTCCCAGGTCTAGTTTAGTGCTAATTCCTGTTCTCTGCAAAGAAAAAGTGTTGTGAAAGTTTTTATTCACATTGCTTTCCAGATTAACGAAAAATTCAAACACCACCCTAAGACCTCTGGAGTTCAACATTGGCTTGTATTCTTTTCTAAAACAGAGTACCCAGTTAAGAAAATTATTCTTACGAAAATAAATGTATATTTATTTTTAAAAAGAAGAAAAAAAAAGAAAGACCCAACCAAGAACCAAGGGTGGGACACAGAAGTCAGTGTTTCCTGTGAGAGTCAACCACAGCCAGTGTTGGAACACCTGCAAAGGTCAGGTACCTCCGTCCAAAGATCTGGTCTCAAAACATTGCGTGATGAAGACTGGCTTTTAGCCAGCTGCTGGTCTGCGTGGGCCTTGACCACTGGTATGGGCGACTGTTCCTGCTGGAGGTCGGGCTGCCCCGTGCCCGCTCCCACAGCCCACATCCACCAGCACAGCGCCACAAAGTCACATATCCTCAACGCTCCACTTGTAGGCGAGCTCTTCCACTGCCTTCTTGCTGGCAAGCCTGGCGAAGCGCTTCTGTTCAAATCCATTGGATCTGCAATCAAGAGATACACTCATCAGAACCCTGAACTGGGCATCTATTTTACAAAGGACAGAACAGTTCACAATAAACAGCACAGAGGAAAGTAAGGCAACTGTGTGAAAACACCTGAAGCAGGTGCCACAGAATCAAAGGGACAAAGCACATGATTCACCTTCTCCTCAGCCCTTGTTCAGACCTTCCTCCCACTCTGCACCAACTGTTTCAAACCTTACCATTTTCCAAAGCTCAGCTGGTATCTCTATCTCACAGTTCATCCATTCATTAAACACTTATTCTCACTGTACACTAGGCAATGTGGTAAGCATTAGGAAAATGAAAACACAGCACCTACCCTGATGAATTCATAGACTAGTGGAAGAAAGAGACAGCTAACAATTTAAATTTAAAGAAAAAGGATAAACTATGGTAGAAATATGCATGGAGTATCATGAAACAATAGAGATCTTACTCAGCTTAGAGGCAACACAGTAAAAAGGTGACACAAGGGATGGACAAGAATGGCCAGCAAAGACTGAAAAGAGCAAGAATTAACCACAAGGAGCAGAAGGGTTAAGAGGTCTTTACAGGACAGACATCACCGCAAGCAGTAAAAGCAAGGGCACAGAAGGAAGTACCACCCTGATAAGTGCAGGGAACCAAAGGCAAACTGGCAAGGCTGCAGCCAAAAGTGGCACAAAGGAAGCAGCCACAAGCCAAACTAGAAAGGCAGACAGAAGCCAAGTCCTAATGAGCTTTATAGAACATGGTAAAAAAAAAAAAAAAAAAAGCTTAGATTTCATTCTTTCATTCAGAAAAGATGAGCTTGTTCATCAGGCAGAGAGACAGACAGAGAGCTCCCATCCACTGGTTTACTTCCCAGAAGCCCACAACAGCCAGGGCCAGAACGGGCCAGGGCCAGAGCCAGGAGCCAGGAACTCAATCCAAGTCTCTCACATGGATGGCAGGGACCGAATTACTTGAGCCATCACCTGCTGCTTCCCAGGGTCTGTATCAGAGGAAGTTGAAACTGGGAGTCCGAGTAGGGTGCTGAACCCAGGCGCTCTGACATGGGAGGTGGGTACCCCGGCCAGCAGCTGAACTGCTTGGCCAAATGCTGGTCCCGTAAAGTGTGGGTTTAAATCAGGAGCATAAACCGTTCTTCAAAGAGCTCACTCTGGAGGAGCCTGTAGGCAGGAACATCACTGCAAAGGTCCAGGAAAAAGATGACAGCAATGATAAAAAGGACGGATGGAAAGAGAGAAGACAGAAGAGGCAAAATCAGTAGAACTCAGAGACTGATTAGTGCATAAAGACAAAGTGAGAAGAGGTGCATCTGCTTCACAGGTTAATAACTGAGTGAGCAGACGAGTGAGGCTGCCACTAGCCAACAAAGAGTGGACAACAAAGGTGCGGGCTTGGGGTAGGGACGCTGAGGAGTTCCATTTTGAACACACTGACTCTGAGGCATCTCAAGTGCCATCTATCAACAGAGAACTTCAACATGTGGCTGGATGCACCAGGACAGGCAGGAAATAGATTTGTGTATTTCCATGGCTCAAAGTATGACCAGGTGAAATTCAATCAGAGAACAAAGGGTGTGAGACAGCCAGGGGTTATGGATGGAGCCCTGAGGAACATTTAACAGGTGCACAGAGCCGGCGCCGCGGCTCACTAGGCTAATCCAAAAACCGCCTTGCGGCGCCGGCACACCGGGTTCTAGTCCCGGTTAGGGCGCCGGATTCTGTCCCGGTTGCCCCTCTTCCAGGCCAGCTCTCTGCTGTGGCCAGGGAGTGCAGTGGAGGATGGCCCAGGTGCTTGGGCCCTGCACCCCATGGGAGACCAGGAGAAGCACCTGGCTCCTGGCTTCAGATCAGCGCGGTGCACCAGCCGCAGCGCGGCGGCCATTGGAGGGTGAACCAACGGCAAAGGAAGACCTTTCTCTTTGTCTCTCTCTCTCTCACTGTCCACTCTGCCTGTCAAAAAAAAACAAAAACAAAAACAAAACAAAACAAAAAAACACAACAAACCAGGTGCGCAGAGGTAGCCAAGAAGAAATGATGATGGAATCAGCAGGAGGGTGTCTTGGACCCCAATGCTGGCGGTGGTGGTGGGGGTTGAGGGGGGAGCAAGAGGATCTCAAATCTCTTCTGATTACTATGTGTTACTTCAGTCTTCTTAGCTCAGCTTCTTGAGAGAGCCTTCATGTTTCCATTCCCTCACTTCTCATCCACCCCTTAACACAATGGAACCTGGCTTTTGTTTCACTAGAGCTTCAGACTAGAGAATCAGGAGTCCAGGGTTCCGACTCCAGCTTCATCATGGAGTGGCATGACTCTAAGTAAACTGCTGATTTACCTAGTCCTCAGCTTCTCCTTTAAGTAATGGCTGTTAGAATAACTGAACTAATGGGTTTTCAGACTGCAACAAATTGCAGATCTGTTCTAGAGAGAGTCCCTTATAGTAGGCCAAGAGCAGGCAAAACTAGAAAAGTTGATTAAAGACTGAATAATCAGAAAGCAAGCAAGGAAAACAATATGAAATAAAAAGAGAAATCTAAAATGAGAAGTAAAGAAAGCAACTGGGAAGGATAGAAACACCAGTACAAAACTAAGTCAGAGAACTCTTAGATTTGGTAACAAAAAATTTAAAAACCAACCAACCACAAATGGAAAGAGGTATTTGGCATAGCAATTAAACCCACTTGGGATACTCCTATCCCATAACAGAGTGCCTGGGTTCCAGTCCTGATTCTGCTCCTAATTCCTCCTTCCTGCTAATGCATACCCTGGGAGGCAGCAGTAGTCAGGTGCCTGCCACCCATTGTATTCCTGGCTTTCAGTTTTGGCACAGTCTAGCCAGCCACTGTGGGCTTTGGAGAATAAACCAGCAGCTGTCTCTTTTGTTTTCTTTTGAAGATTTATTTTATTTATTTGAAAGGCACAGTTATGGAGAGAGGGAGGGAGATGCAAAGAAAGACAGAGATCTTCTATCTACTGGTTCACTCCCCAAACGGCCGCAATGGCCAGAGCTGGGCCAGGCTGATGCCAGGGGCCCGGAGCTTCATCCAGGTCTCCCACATGGGTGCAGGGGCCCAAGGACTCGGGCCAACTTCCACTGCTTTCCAGGTGCATTAGCAGGGAGCCAGATATGAAGTGGAGCTGCTGGGACTAAAATGGATGCCAATATGGAATCCCGTGTTGCAGGTGGCAGATTTACCCACTAGACCACAATGCCAGCCCCAACTGTCTTTCTGCCTCTCAAACAGGTACAATTTTTAAGTTAAAAAGAAAAATAACTAAGTGGAAATTTTAGCTACAGTCCACTGCAAAACATTTTAAATACCACTGTGTTACCATGTAAACTATCAGAATAAAAACCAATAAGCTTGAGAGGAATATAACAGAATCTGTCTTTACAATGCATCATTCATACTATCTAGTAACAATAAAAAGGCCAACATGTAAATAAGCAGGACAGTGTGATACACACAAGTAAAGGCTGTCAACAGAAACCAATTGTTGCAATTAGCAGAGAAAAATTGAAAGCACCAAATACACATATTTTCAAGCAAAGAATATGTCTCATAATAAATGGGTGGATAGGAAATCAAAGCAGCGAAACAGAGGCTATCAAATGGAAATTCTGAAGTGGAAAAATATAACAAATCAACTGAAATAAAAAACCTACAACTGACATTGGCAGAAAAACACACCAGGATATATAAATTATCTAAACACAGTAATCACCATAACCTAATTGACATTTATAAAACACTACCCCAGGGGCTGGTATTGTGACATAGAGGGTAAAGCCTCCACCTGTGATGCTGGCATCTCATAAGGGCATTGATGCGTATCCAGGCTGCTCCACTTCCAATCCAGATCCCTGCTATTGCACCTGAGAAAGCAGCAGAAGATGGCCCAAGTACTTGGGACCCTGCCACCCATTTGGGAGACCCCACTGAAGCTTCTGGCTTCAGCCTGGCCCAGCCCCAAACATTGGTGGCTATTTGGGGAGTAAACCAGCAGATAAAAGTTCTCCCTCTCTGTGTCTTTCCCTGTTTTCTCTGTAACTCTGCCTTTCAAATAAATAAATCTTAGGAGAAAACAAAAACAACCCCTCACTACCCCAAATAATTGCAGAACTTACGTTCTCTTCAAGTGCAAGTCAAGCATTCGTAAGGCAGACAATATACTGGGCTAGAAAACATATACTAATAAATGTCAAAATATCAAAATATTACAGAATATATTCTCTGACCACAATGGAATTGAATTAGAAGTCAATAAAAGGGGCTGGTGCTATGGTGTAGCAGTAAAGCATTGCTTGAAGTGGTGGCACTCCATACAGGCACCGGTTCAAGTCCCAGCTGCTCCTCTTCCGATCCAGCTCTCTGCTATGGCCTGAAAAAGCAGTAGAAGACGGCCCAAGTCCTTGGGCCCCTGCACCCACGTGGGAGACCCGAAAGAAGCTTCTGGCTTCAGATCAGACCAGCTACGACCGTTGCAGCCAATTGGGGAGTGAACCAGCGGATGGAAGACTTTTCTCTCTCTGCTTTTCCTTCTCTCTCTGTGTAACTCTTTCAATTAAATAAATAATTTTTTTTTTTTTTTTTTTTTTTTACAGGCCGAGTTAGACAGTGAGAGAGAGACAGACAGACAGAAAGGTCTTCCTTCCTTTGGTTTACCCCCCAAATGGCCACTATGGCCAGTGCACTGCAGCCGGGGCACCGTGCTGATCCGAAGCCAAGAGCCAGGTGCTTCCTCCTGGTCTTCCATGCGGGTGCAGGGCCCAAGCACTTTGGCCATCCTCCACTGCCTTCCCAGGCCACAGCAGAGAGCTGGACTGGAAGAGGAGCAATCAGGACAGAATCCAGTGCCCCAACTGGGACTAGAACCCGGGGTGCCGGCACCACAGGCGGAGGATTAGCCTAGTGAGCCATGGCACCAGCCTAAATAAATAAATCTTAAAAAAAAAAAAAAAAAAAAAGATGTCAATATCAGCTCTTCCTGTAAGCAGTCTTAGATATCTGTGAAAATGGTTTTGCTGTTCACTTGACCCAGAAAACCCCACAAAATCATGCAAACCAGAGGTTTCAAATCTTCATGTTCACTTTAAGAAAACCTGGGAAACTGCCTAGGCCATCAGGTGTATGCATATCTAACAAGACATCAAGTATCTGAAAAATGTCACATTGAAAGAAGCAGCATGGGCCATTCCATCTTTACAACAGTGGGGTTGAAAGCTGTGCCCAGGCCAAGCAGTGGGGCCTGACACAGGGTTGACGGCCAAAAAAAATAAGAATATGAACTTTCTGCTGCATGTGCTTAAAGACACAGCGTGCTGAACTGAGGATCTGGATGCAGAGTCTCTGGTCACTGAACACAGCCCCCAAGACACATCGCTGTGCATGTGTGCATTAACCCGCACATGGGCTCCGCCTGACACAGAGATGATCCTCACTGACGAGAGATAAATTACTCCTACACCAGAAGAGAAGGTGGCACAGAAGGAAAAGATATCCTACAAAAAGCTGAAGAAACAAAAACTTACGGGCTGGGAATAAATTCAGCATAAAACAAATACAAATTAAAAGCAAAAAAAAAAAGTTAATAACAGTGAGATATCTCGTGAAATCACTATGTTTGGAATTTCACAATGCACTTCTAAATAATCCATGGATCAGAGATCCAAGAAGAAATATTTTAAAAATCCATAATACATGAAAAAACTCTCAGTAAACTAAGAATAGAAGGGAGCTTCCTCAACTTAGTAAGGTTTACTGACAAAAAACATAATTTACAAAGCCATTTTTAATGGTAGAAGACCACGTTCTCCTAAGATCAGGAATAAAGCTCTTCCTACTCCTAGCCAGCATCTGTACTGGAAAGGCTACCTAATGCCACACACAGGAAAAGAAACAAAAGGCATTCAGAATGGAAAGAAGCAGCAAAACGGTCTGTATTCAAAAACAGCATGATCTTCTAGATACAAAATCTGATGGAGTTTACAAAAAAAGCTATTGTACAAGATGAGCTGAAAAACTGACAATATTTGTTACCAATGGAAAAATTCAAGCTTTTAAGTGTAAATTAGAATTTTGAAAAATTGTCACCATAATTCTTTAGCTTCCCATATTTAAAGAGACTTGCAGTAAGGTAAGACTAGCGAAAGTATAACTGTATAATGAAAACATGTCAGCATTTGGAAGAGCTGAAAAACTCAGCAAACCAGTATTTTGCAAATGATCAATGAGTGATGTTATAAAATCACGTATGGGGGCAGGCATCTGATGTACTGATTAAGATGCTACTTGGAATGCCAGCATCCCTTACCACAGTCTGGGTTTGAGTCCCAGCTCCACTCCAGATTCCAGCTTCCTGCTAATGCAAACCCTGGGAGGTAGCAGGTGATGGCTCAAGTGGTTAGATTCCTACCACCCATGTGGGAGATCTACATTGAATTCTGGCTCCTGGCTTTCAACTGGCCCAGCCTTGGCTAAAACAAGCACTTGAGACATGACACAGCACATAGGAAATCCATCTGTCTGTCTCTCTGCCTTTCAAATTAAATAAGTAAGTAGACAAAAAATTAGAACAAGAGTCTAGAAATAACAACAAAAATGAACTGAAGTCAAAGATTCACTCAAACTAGGAAAAAGATAAATGGATTTTTATGCAACAGTATGAAAAGTTCCCTGATATGGTTTCAGATCCCACTAAGTAACCTTCAAGAAACTGGCACTTACTTGAGATGTTGTACAGTATCAGTGAATATAATATGTGTTCCCTTCTCCACCTAGCCTATGTGCAAGGCTGACTTTTCTTTAGCTAAACAACATTTCACAACAGACAAATGCAGACCCCAGCTGCTGAAGTCAGACATTAATGAGACTTGCAAAAGCATAGATCAACACTATCCTTGTCAGTACTTTTTTAATTTGAAAAATATAGCTATTTTTTATAAAAGTAATATGGCAATTATTTTAACACGTAACAGCTTTACTTTTTTAGAATAAATTAAAATAAGAATAGTATATTCTAAATTAATATTTAATTAATATTTTTAGAATAAATATAATTAAATGTCTCAGTTTTAATCTCTAATATGGCAAATATTAATATAATCTATGTAAATAAATAAAAGCTTTTGGGAATCCTAAATAATTTTTAAGAGTGTAAAGGGGTCATGAGATTAAAAATTTTGAGAATCACTGTGTTAGATACTAGAATGTTCTTTAGCAGGCAAGAGGAGATGGGATCTAATAAGTAAGTAGAAGGACTGACTTGGAGTAGGAGAAAATACAGCTCATACATCATAACAGACAAGAAGTTAGAGTACATGGAAACAGATGCTGGTGGTTGAATAGATGAGAGTCTGTGAAACATTACAAGCAGCTCACTGCTCAGAGAGTGAAGGAAATGAAGGTTCAGGGACTACATTTTAAAGATACAGACCACAATCCATAACTCATTCCCTCTAAACCTTAGAAAATATCATTAAAAGGCCAATGTCCAAGACAAAAGATGCCCTACCTTGACCACGTCAATTCTGAAAAAGAAACAGGAGGGAGGGGAGTGTTCCAAGTATGGGAAATAGGATTTGTGAACCTCAGAACTAGAAGCAAGCAAAATGTGTATTATTCACCTTGTGATTACAGCAGAGAATGAGGCAGAGTATAGAGTGATTTAAAAACAGTGAGGAAAGATTAAGGTCAGACAGAAGAGAAAATGAAAATGTAGGAAATAATCATGATTACCTGTCCACTCCATCCCAGCGATATCCAGGCCAGATATTGAATCTGTTGGGAGGAGGTGCTGGGCCATTGTAGCGAGGTCGCACTAATGAGAGGAATGAAAAAAAAAAAATAGTTTCTGCATTGTAGTGCAGTGGGTCAAGCCGCCACCCGCAATGCTGGCATCGCATGTGAGCACTGGTTTGAGTCCTGGCTGCTCTGCATCCAATGGAGCTCCCTATTAATATGCCTAGGAAAACAGTGGAAGATGGCTCATTTACTCGGGCCCCTCCCACCCACATGGAAGATCGGATGGAGTTCCAGGCTCTCAGCTTCCACCTGGCCCAGCCCTGGCCATTGGGGCCTCTTGGGGAGTGAACCAGCAGATGGAAGATGGATCTCTGTCTCTCCCCTGCACATCTGCCTTTCAAAAAAAGTCTCAAGTTGAACCTAACTTTATAAATACAAGGAATTTAAAAGTGTATGAGAGGGGCTGGTGGTGTAGCCAGAAAAGCCATCGTTGCAATGCCAGCATCCCATATGGACACCAGTTTGAGTCCCGGCTGCTCTACTTCCAAACCATCTCCTTGCTAATGCACCTGGGAAAGCAGCAGAGGAAGGCCCTAATAATTGGGCCCTTGTACCTACACGGGAGACCTAGAAAAAGCTCCTGGCTCCTGGCTTCAGACTGGCCCAGCTCTGGCCGTTGGCCATTTGGGGAGTGAACCAGCAGATAGAAGATTTCTCTCTCTCTGTCTCTCCCTCTCTCTGTAACTCTTTCTTTCAAATAAATAAATAAATCTTAAAACACAAACAAAAAACCAAAGTTGTTCAAATCTCAACTTTAGAGACAAACTGCTTTAAAAAAAAAAAAAAAAGTGAATGGGAAAGCCTTCTTTGCACATAGCTGTGTATTAGTACCCTAATAACTGTCTTTCTTCACATAAATCCCCTCTAGTCACTTCTGGTGACTGCCGGAAGTCTCACCTTTCTTATTCTTGCTCTCCTTGGCCTTACTCTTCTTGATGAAGTTGGCCATGGGGTCTCCTTCTCTTTCTTGTTCTCTCAGCATCCGATCCAGATCTTCATCGTCAATATAGCGGGCCAGAGGCTTCTGCATCTCCTTGATTGCATCCTCCACATTCTGTTGCTGTTGCCGGTCCTGGGCAAGCCTGAACCAAAAAGAAACAGGAGGGGCTGCAACTGTGTTTGCTATTTCCATTCCTACACTGGATGGACCACACTCCTACATTAGTGGAACCTCCTCCTTCTACTAATCCAGGCTAAATAGTGAAAATACTGAGCTGGAAGTGTGAAATAAATCAGTATCCCAGGAAGGAGATTCAGCACAGTGAATTTCCCATTCCTGATAACAGTCATTAAATAACATTTTTTTAGGTTAACATGCAATGCTAGCACACTTTTAAGGGGTACAATGAAACTTTTCCACACATATACACAGCTTCAACCAACCACACCAGGCAATCATCTTGTTTCCTCTTTTCCTTGTGTTTGCAATGTATCAGCTCCTCTCTTCCAGTTCTTTATACAGGATATTTTATACCATCATGAGCCCCAGTCACCCCTCCTCTGCTGTAATATACCAGAACTAGCCAGGTTTACCCTACTTTGTTTCAGTACCCATTGCCCCACCCTCCCCCTCCACTTCCCTCACCTTTCCCCACATCTAGTAATCTCTATTTTAAATGTGAATCAAGTGTCTAATAACAGCTTTGGGGGCTGGCAAGTGGCATGGTGGGTAAAGCTGATGCTTGCAGCACTGGTATCCCATATGGTCATCGGTTAAGTCCCAGCTGCTCCACTTCAGGTACTGCTCCTTGATAATGTGCCCAGGAAAGTAGCAGCAGATGGCCCAAGTGCTTGGGCCCCTGCACCCACAGGAGAGACCTGGAAGAAGCTCCTGGCTCCTGGCTTCACATGGGCTTAGCTCTGGCTGTTTCGGCCATTTGGGGAGTGAACCAGTGGATGAAAGATCTCCCTCTGTCTCTTCCTCTCTTTCTGTACCCTGCCTTTCAAATAAATAAATCTTACAAAAACAAAAGAACAGCTGTGACAGAACAATGAACTGCTAGCAGAGCCGAGGACCGACTTGTTCTCATCACTGCAGTCCTGCTTCCCCCTTTCAGGGTCCCTTACCCTTTTCCCCATCGCGCGTACTGCTCATTTCTCTCCATGTCCTTCTCCGCTTTTCTCCTCTCCTCCAAACGCTCCAGTTTCAAATTCCTCTTACGACCAAATTTATCTCGAAATACGGTTTCAGCAAACTGGAATTGAGCTATAAAGAAAAATCACATTTTTTAAGATAAACAACAGGTATTAAAATCAGAAATGATATTCTCACACATGATACCAACAGCTTGGGATTCTGATGCTAGGTAAGAACTTCTACAGCCAAACTACAAGTGGTTCCTATCAACATCTAGCCGCATTTTGGTGATGGGCCTGAGAAGCGACATATTTCAAAAAGGAAAGAACCATCTGGTCCCACAGAGAAGTTAAAATGATGCATAAAATCAAAGCTGAAATTTGGTAGCAATTAACTATCAATAAGTTACATTTAAAAAAAAAAAAAGCTACACGAGCCTGGAATGCTCTCAGCACTTTTACATTTTTACCTTCAAATGCCAGGGTTTCTTGGTCCTGCTTCTTGAGCTCCTGCTGTTCTTGCTCTACATTAGTTAACACCAACCCAGTTTTAGCTCCAGAATACATGTGTGCAGCCTATGCAATGAAAAAGGAAGCATCTGATGTTAATGAGACATGGTTAACTGCAGTTCTGATGATCAGCAATGAGCAAACCAAAAAATCCAGCTTTGTATTTCCATTATTTACCAAAGGATAAAAGATTAAAATCTAATTTCATGGAAAATCTAATAGTACCATCAAGTTGAGGAGTAAGCAGAAACACAAACAACAACACGTAAGAGGGAAGACTAAGCATTTGCTTTCCTGACTTCTCAGCATACAAACTGCACACACCAAGACTCACTCTGGGCTCACTTGACCAGAAATTTGTATCAAGCTCGAAAAATGCTCCATTTAAAGTATAAACCTGAGCAAACCTAAGATGCTACATTGTAGATGTATTTCAGGAGAAACAGAAGACCTGATGAAAGGAAAACTTTTTACTCATCTCCACTTTGTATCAAGATAGCAAACCCCACCTCACAAGTGGAGTACACGGTGGGTCTCGGCATCCGTAAGCAACTCAACTCTGATTAATATTAAACCGCCCAGGAACTGAACAGATACATAAAATTTCAAGGGGTCCAGCTAACACAGACACCTTACTTTTTTCCCCAAAAGCAGGTTTGGGGACAGGCTGGTCCACCTTACCAGGACCAGTCTTTTCCAGGTCTTCTGAGAAGACTTAGCTGAGAAACCTGCCTGAGAGAGAAACTCGCACACCACAGTGCTTAATCAACTCGCAATAAGATGCCTTTAGTGCCACTGCTCTTCCTTACGGTTACTTGGGGTTCACGTGGATTTTTATTGTGCTAATCCATCAAGCTTTATCATAGATGTAAAATACAACAAAACAGATTTCTCAGACTGTGATTTCTGAAAATAGTTTTATAGTTTAAGTGTCTCTCTTTTTGTTCCGGCTAAAGATATGTAATCCAACTTACAATAATAAATTTATAACAAATTACACTAAATAATCACTTTGTCCTAAGCTCACACTTAATTACCCACACTTAATTCTCATAATAATCTTAAGGTACTGCCATTATCTACAGCTGAGATGCAGAGATATTAAGTATCTTGTCCAAATCTCCCATTTAGTAATTGGCAGAAGTAGGATTCAAATATGTGATCAGTTTGACACAGGCTTTGTGCTACGAACTCTATCCTACAAACCACAACCCTTCATTTACTCATAAGGAAGCAGGAAGTTTTTCTAGCCCAAAAAAATTAACACGAGACTTGATACAAGCCCATCTGGGTGGGGTTACAGCCAGTCCCACCCTGAGAGCAAAGGAAAGTGCCCCAGTGGTACTTCTAAGCCAGGATTCCCTGCACTGCCATAGCTACTTCCTCCGCTGGCTCGGTTTCCTGGGACTCGTGCAAAGCCAGAAGACAGGAGTCACGGGAAGGGAAGGACGGGGCTCCCTACCCGCTTTCCGGGAGGCTGACTTCTCCTGGGTGGAGACAGATCCGAATCAGGAGACCTGGTCCCCCGTTTCCTCCTTGGTGGAGAGAGGTCAGAATCAGAGCTTCGGTGCTGAGGTCTATTCCGTGGAGGAGACAGATCTGAATCAGAATCCTGAGGCCTCGGATTTTTACGCCGTGGAGGAGAAAGATCGGAATCAGAGGCTTTCCGGCGGTCACCTGGGTAGGAAAGAGTTCCTATGTGTTTCTAAGTCTCCTAGGTGAGGAACTTAAATGAAATTTCCTTTGGCTGGAGGAAGAGCCTAGAAATTAAAGAAAAGACTAATCCCTTTGTAAGAATCTGTAAGAAAAATTTACTCAGCTGGTATAGAACATTGACCTAAACACAAGTACAGAAGCTTTGGGAGAAGAGCCAAGTCAGAGATACTCTCAAAACCAACAGGCAGCAGATGGGGTTCTACTCCCAAATGACTAGTGACTGTGGCCATGACCGCTGTGTCAAACTTCAACACCTCCATCTACTCACAGAACAGGCTAAACAACTTGGGAGTTAGCTCTCCATGGTGCGGCCAAAGTTGGAAACAGCTACAGTATATTCTGATATCTGATATATATCACGTTAAGAGAGAAGGTAAGATTACACACACCGTAATACTCATTCTGCATAGCCAGGACTCAACTGCAACAAAAATACATTCAAAAAAAAAAAAAAAAAAAAAAAGACTAAAAGAAGGCACACATTCAGCCTAGTGGTTCAGATGCCCCGATTCCATAAGAGTATCCGGGTTCAATATCTGGCTCCAGTTCCTGACTCCAGCTTCTTATTAAAGCAGACCCCAGGAGGCAGCAGTCACAGCTCAAGTAACTGGGTTCTTGCCAGCCATATGGGAGAACTGGATTGAGTTCTCAGCTCCCAACTTTAGCCCAGGCTGCTGCAGGCATTTGAGGAGTGATTAGCAGATGGGAGCTCTCTGTCTGTCTCATTGGACCTCTACCTCTCAAATAAATTAATTTTTTAAAAGACTAAATGGACATTGGTTACAACATTATCAGTGATGGCCTCTGAATGACAAAATTTTGTGTCATTTTTTCTGCCTTTTTGTACACTTCTATGCATTATAAAACTTCTGCCACAAACATGTAGTACTTTTATACATGGTGAGAAGTAAATAAAATAATTCATAAAAATGTCCTCCTTGCCATCATAATGTTTTAACTCTCCTGAGCCCAGACTCCCACTTTTCAAAACTTTTCCAAAGAAATTCCATTCTCACATCTAATAGAGCAAGTAGAAGTGCAATAGAAAACTGCCAGGAAGGAAGTCCCTCCCGCGGGCGGTCACGTGCTCACCTTTAGACTCAAGCTGCTTCTTATCTCCAAAATGGGATTTTGCCTGTCTTTTTCGTGGCGGAGAGAGATCCGAGTCACACTCATACTTGCTCTTCTTCGGGAGTAATGAATGAGAGGTCTGTGGCTCATTCCAAGGTGGAGAAGTCTTGCTAGATGCTCTTTCTGGGGCTTTCTTACTTTTGGTTTTGGACACTGAGTGAGTGACATCAGGTGCCGAATTGGGGGAACTGTGTCGGGCCCCCCTGAGCTGCCCTGTGTCAGAGGTCCCGGGAATTTTCCTAGGTTGGGAAGCGTCAGGGGAGCTGTCGTGGGCCCTTCTGGAGGAAGAAATATCTGAGGAATTATGAGACGTCCTCCTAGCAGGAGACGGATCTGGTGAATCATGACGGGTTCTCCTAGGAAACACAGCTGAAGAACTGTGATGAGGCTTCCCGGGAGGAGAAGGATCCGGGGTGTCGTGACGGACCCTCCTGGGAGGAGAAGGATCCGGGGTGTCGTGACGGACCCTCCTAGGGGGAGAAGGATCCGGGGTGTCGTGACGGACCCTCCTGGGGGGAGAAGGATCCGGGGTGTCGTGACGGACCCTCCTGGGAGGGGAAGGATCCGGGGTGTCGTGACGGACCCTCCTGGGGGGAGAAGGATCCGGGGTGTCGTGACGGACCCTCCTGGGAGAAGGATCCGGGGTGTCGTGACGGACCCTCCTGGGAGGAGAAGGATCCGGGGTGTCATGACGGACCCTCCTGGGAGGGGAAGGATCCGGGGTGTCGTGACGGACCCTCCTGGGAGGGGAAGGATCCGGGGTGTCATGACGGACCCTCCTGGGAGAAGATGGATCCAAGGTGTCGTCATGGATTCTCCTGGGAGGAGAAGAATCCGGAGTGTCATGACGGAGCCGTCTGGGAGGAGAAGGATCCGGGGTGTCGTGACGGAAATGCCCTTGTGAAGGTAGGTCTTCATCGTGACCTAAGCACAAATAGCAAAGAATCAGATTTCCATAGTTGCTCTGTCCACCCCTTCATTTAAAGTTTCAAAAGATGTCCCGGCAGCATACACCTTAGAACTACTCAGAAAGCCCAAAAAGTCTGCACAGCTCTCTTCCTTGGAGGCAGCAAACCAGCACTAATGAATCTAGAGAATAACCCCTCTTACTGGTCTACAAGTCATAAATTTGAAAGCATTTTAAAGACATTTTTCATATTATACCCTCTAAGGTAAGCAGGGCAGGTCCCTTGTTTTATAGACATGAAAAGGGAGGCTCTGTGATACTGAGTGATTTCTTACTTAAGGTCACAGCTACTAAGATAAAGACTGGCTAGAACCAAACTCTTCTAACCTTTAATCCAGTTTCTTTCCAAAACCTCATTTAGGCAGAGTTCCCCCTCAGTGGCTCCTACTGATACTTAGCCTAGACTATTTATAGCTGTAATCAATCTTCTTTCAAAAGTCAAATGGACGAGGCCGGCGCTGTGGCACAGCGGGTTAATCCTCCACCTGCAGCATCAGCATCTCATATGGGCCCCGGTTCTAGTCCTGGCTGCTCTTCTTCCCATCCAGCTCTCTGCTGTGGCCTGGGATGGCAGTTGAGGATGGCCCAAGTCCTTGGGCCCCTGCACCCACATGGGAGGCCCAGAGGAAGCTCCTGGCTTTGGATTGGTGCAGTTCTGGCCATTGCGGCTATCTGGGAGTGAACCAGCGGATGGAAGACCCCTCTTTCTGTCTCTACCTCTCTCTGTAACTCTATCTTTCAAATAAATAAAATAAATCTTAAAAAAAAAAAAAAAAGTCAAATGGACAGAACCTATGCACATTAAAATAAAATGCTTGTTAAACATTTAATCCATGTCACTGTGCTTCTTGTAAGAGAAAATCACTTACTGATAATCTACTATGTGCCAATGCTCTATACAGATTGCCTTATTTAATTTTCACAAACGTAGGCAGTAAAGACTATCCTCATGAGGAAGCTGATACCCAGGAAGATCAAGTCATCTGCCCAAGTCACACTGCTGGTAAGTAGTGAAGGAGTAAATAAAAATCCAGATTGGACCCCAAAGTCCATGTGAAATCTTTAAAAATATGTAGCTGAGGAAAAAATTCACATTTGAGGCCATCAATTTCAGTGGCACAATAGAATGAAATGTTTATAGCAACTGCAACATTCCCCAACTCCAGTTCCTCCTCTCCCTCTGGTTCTTGTCATTGAGCTATATGGGCCAAAACCACAAAGCTGGCTAGGAACACGTGGATATTGTTAAGTGCATGAAGTAAACCGAGGCACCCCTCTGCTCTAAGAACAGACCTATGGCACTGGAATCCACCCCACAGAGAACAGCACTGATGTCTGCAGGAGGCTTGACAATACATCTAATCCATGAGACTGATACATTCCAAGAGATGTATACAAAGGGGGAAAAATCAGAACAGTAAGTTATTTCCAGTAAATAAAGGACTGTGTGTGTGCGTGTGTGTGTGTGTGAGAGAGAGAGAGAGAGAGAGAGAGAGAGATTTCCTAGACCTTTAGACATGGAGACCAGAAGATCTTCTCTGAAAAGATTATACAAAAGATTGGAAACACACCTAGAGGATAAGGTAGAAAATAATGGATAAGACTAAAAAGCATTCTGATAAAAATATCCCAAGACTAAAGTTTTCATTTTTTTTTTTTAAAGATTTACTTATTTATTTGAAAGTCAGAGTTACAGAGAGGGAAAGGCAGAGGCAGAGAGAGAGAGAGAGAGAGAGGTCTTTAGGTCTTCCATCTGCTGGTTCACTCCCCAAATGGCTATAATGGCCAGAGCTGAGCTGATCCGAAGCGAGGAGCCAGGAGTTTCTTCCTGGTCTCCCATGCAGATGCAGGGGCCCAAGGACTTGGGCCATCTCTTACTGCTTTCCTAGGCCATAGCAGAGAACTGGATCAGAAACAGAGCAGCTGGGACTTGAATCAGCGCCCATATAGGATGCTGGTACTGCAGGCATGGGCTTTAAGCACTATGCCACAGCAGTGGCCCCTAAAGTTTTCATTCATAATATGTACTGAAAAGTAACCAAGGCAACAGTGATACAATATATACATATATATATATATCTCAGTGATATAATTATATTATATTATATATATATCAGTGATATATATAACAGTGATATACAATCTATAGCTGTCACTTTCACTACACATTTTTTCAAATCAGAACTGTAAGATAATTAACATAATGGCAGAAAGTATAACACAGATGACAAATCTTGTCTAGAAACTAATTTATCCTCAACGTGGGAAAAGGAACAAGCATCCAGAATAAATTGGAATTAAACAGCTATCAAGAAGCAGGGTCTGGGGCCGGTGCTGTGGCATAGTGGGTTAAGCCTCCACCTATGATGCCACCATCGCATATGGGTGCTGGTTTGAGTCATGGCTGCTCCACTTCTGATCCAGCTTTCTGCTATGGCCTGCGAGAGCAGAAGATGGCCCAAGTGCTTGGGCCCCTACACCCATGTGGAAGACCTGGAAGAAGCTCTTATCTCCTGGCTTCAGATAGGCCTAGCTCCAGCCTATTGAACCAACAGATGGAAGACCTCTCTCTCCTTCTCTCTGCTCTGCCTCTCTGTAACTTTGCCTTTCGAGTAAATAAATAAACCTTTAAAAATTTAAATAAATAGAAGTATTAAAAAAAAAAAAAAGCAGGATCCTTGTTTATGAAATACACATGGGCAAAACCAAGCATGGCCCCAGTGGCAACACAGAGCAGGATATACTCACTGGACTCACAGGTACAGCTATCTAGAAAGTTCTTGGAAAAGGAAGAACAACTGCAAAGCCTCTAGTGAAGAGCAACAAGCCATGAGCAGCAAATGCCTATCAGCAAGCCAACAATTCCACACTACTGAGGCACCTCCTGGGCTAGGCAGCAGGAGGACCACAGCAAAGCACAAGGGACAAACACACGCCTCTTACCCAACTCAGAAAGTCTCAAAAGAAAACAAAAAACAACTTTTTTTAAGGAAGTTAAATTATTGGCCTAGAGAGAAGGTCTAGAATGGGAGGATAATGCATTGTAAAATACCAATATTTAAGGGGGAAAAAAAACCAGAAATCTATTAACACAAATAAAAAGGACAAAAACCATTGGTCCTCGACCCAGACATGACCACTTCATTCTGGAAGAGGAGACAGGAGCTGAAGTCTCCGAAGTGCTCCTCTGCTTCTTGTGACCTCCTCCCAAAGTCCCGCCTATAGACCAAGAGCTCTCCCATCTAGGCCGAGAGCAGTCCCAGAGGAGCCACTTCCTGACCTCGGTAACCCCTCATACCCATGTCTTATTCATTCTGAAGAAATCCTGAATTCTTTTTCACACTCGATTTTTCAGGCTCAATAACACACTAAAACAAACTATCATTCCTCTAATAGAAAAGTGTAGAAAAGGGTCTACCCTGTAAATGGTGAGTTTAGATTCATCTACTGGAGGAACTCACCTCCTAGGAGCTTCCATTTGGCACTGGAGCGAAAGGCCTCCATCTGTTTGACCTCTTCTGGCCGTTCATCCACAAACTCAGCCACCTGTGAGAAGAGGGACACTATGTAGAGGACATCCACGCAACCAGCCAAGGAGCACTGTTGTCTCAAAACCTGAAGCTATGACCATTCCCATTCCTGATACACATGGTGCACCCAGTCATGAAGAAACACGCAGCAGTGCTCAGTTACATCCGCCCCATCAACACCAACTGTCATTGTACTGACTATCAGTTTCCCTCCAAAGGTTAATTTCTAACATGACAAACCTTTTTGTTAGGAATCCAGGTACACAAGTGCCACTTGTAAGCTAAAAGCCACATTCCTTTTACATTTTTCACTTTTACATTCAAAGAGAAAACACAGGCTGCCTCCCTGTCACACCTGCCACAGATCAAGGACTCTGGGCTCCTTTTTGTTGCAGGTTGTCACCAGGCCTGGTATTCTTAAATCCAACCAAGGAAGCCTCTGAGATGCACACAGAATCACAGATCTTTAAGGCATAAATCTACATCTTACATTCTCCAAACTCTCAAACAAACTGGAATTGTCACGAAAGTATCCCTGATAGGGGCTGGCACTGTGGAACAGAAGGCTAAGCCTCCACCTTTAGTGCCGGTATTCCATACGGGTGCCGGTTCCAGTCCTGGCTGCTACACTTCTGATCCTGCTCTCCGATAATGGCCTGAGAAAGCAGCAGAAGATGGTCCAAGTGCTTGGGCCCCTGCATCCACATTGGATGCTCGAAAACAGCTCTTGACTCCTGGCTTCGGATTGACCCAATTCCAGCCACTGAGGCCATCTGGGGAGTGAACCAGCGGATGGAAGACTTTTCTTTTTATCTATAACTCTGCCTCTTAAATAAATAAATCTTTAGAAAAGAAAAGGAAGGAAAAAAGAAAGAATGGAGAAAACAAAATATCCCTGATAAATATTCACTCCCTCAATCCTTGACAGGGAACTCATTATCTTACAAGGCAGTCCACTGTATTTTTAAGCAGTGTGAGAAGGCTTCAAGTTTTATGAGATCCATATCCATTTTCCTATAACTTCCTTCCATTGATCCTAGTTCTACCCTCTGACAAAACAGATTACCATTCCAGAGGATAGCTTTTCTTTCTTTCTTTAAAAAAAAAAGATTTATTTATTTATTTGAAAGAGTTACACAGAGAAGGAGAGGTAGAGAGAGAGAGGTCCTCCATCCATTGGTTCACTCCCCAATTGGCCTCAATGGCCGGAGCTCTGCCGATCCAAAGCCAGGGGCCAGGAGCTTCTTCCAGGTCTCCCTTGCGGGTGCAGGGACCCAAGGCCTTGGGCCAACTTCTACTGCTTTCCCAGGCCATAACAGAGAGCTGGATCAGAAGTGGAGTAGCCAGGTCTTGAACTGGTGCCCATATGGAATGCCAGCACCACAGGCAGCGGCTTCACCTTCTACGCCATAGCACTGGTTTCCAGAGGATAGATTTTCAAAGAGACTGGCATTGCCAAGTTCTAGTTACAAAGTAGACTACGTGCAAGGCACTATGTTGTGTACTTTACTTATACATTATCTCATTCTTACCTCACAGGGTCCTCACAATAATCCTGCACAGAAATACCCCATGTTGCTGAACAGAACACTTTGATTTGCTCGTTATTACTGGCGGCAGCCTAACTCACTGCACCACAATGCTGGCACTCAAGCCATTTTTAAAAAATAATTCTAGGGACCAGCACTGTGGCAAAGCGGGTTAAGCCACAGCCTACAGCACTGGCATCCCATACTGATGCCGGTTTGAGTCCTGGCTACTCCACCTCAGATTCAGCTCCCTGCTAATGAGCCTAGGAAAGCAGTGAAAGATGGCTCAAGTATTTGGGCCCCTGAACTCATGTGGGAGACACACCCAAATGAAATTCCTAGTTCCTGGCTTCAGTCTCGCCCAGTCCTGACCGTTGCAGCCATTTGGGGCGTGAACCAGCAGATGGAAGATCTCTCACTGTCTACTGGCTCTCATGCACCCTTCAAAACTCAACTCAGATATTTACATCTACATGACGTCTCCCAACAAAATACCAAGTGTGCTATCTACCCTGTGCTCCCATGGCATTTGCCGTATGTGGCCTGGGAAAGCAGAAGATGGCCCAAGTCCTTGGGCCCCTGCACCTGCGTGGGAGTCCCAGAAGAAGCTCCTGGCTTCAGATCAGTGCAGCCTTGACCACTGAGGCCAATTGGGGAGTGAACCAGAGGATGGAAGACCTTGCTCTCTCTGCCTCTCTTTCTCTCTCTGTGTAACTCTTTCAAATAAATCTTTAAAAAAAAAAAATCATTGCTTACCAACACAACACACTGAGCAGTACCAACTGCTGACCCTGGGATCTTGCGGCTGATTGCGAATGGCGGCTTGCTGCTGCCACCCAGCATCGCAAGAGAAGAGTGCGCTGCACACTGCTAACCCAGAAAACAGTCAACACGCAAAATTACAAGGATAGTTTCTACTGACTGCATATAGCTCAGGAACTGTCTAAACAGACACAGTGAAAGACCAGGCTATGGTTGGTACTGGCCCAAAAACAGACGGATAGACCAACAGAACAGAATCAAAACTCCAAAAATCAACCCATACGTCTACAACCAATTTATTTTTGACAAAGGAGCTAAAATCAATCCTTGGAGCAAAGACAGTCTCTTCATCAAATGGTGCTGCAAAAATTGCATCGCTACTTGCAGAAGCATGAAGCAAGACCCCTACCTTACATCTTACACAAAAATCCACTCAAAATGGATCAAAGACCTAAATCTACAACCCGATACCATCAAATTATTAGAAAACATTGGGGAAACCCTGCAAGACATTGGCATAGGCAAAGCATTCTTGGAAAAGACCCCAGAGGCATAGGTAATCAAAGACAAAATGGACAAATGGGATTACATCAAATTGAGAAGCTTCTGTACTGCAAAAGAAACACTCAGCAAAGTGAAGAGGCAACCGATGGAATGGGAGAAATAATTTGCAAACTATAAAACTGATAAAGGATTAATAACCAAAATATATAAAGAGATCAAGAAACTCAACAACAAACAACCCAGTTAAGAAATGGGCAAAGGACTTAAACAAAAGAGAAAATCCAAATGGACAACAGATACATGAAAAAATGCTCAGAATCATTAGCCATCAGAGAAATGCAAATCAAAACCACAATGAGGTTTTACCTCACCCCAGTTAGAATAGCTTGCATACAGAAATCAACAAACAACAAATGCTGACAAGGATGTGGGTAAAAAGGTATCCTAATCCACTGCTGGTAGGAATGTAAACTGGTACAGTCACTGTGTAAGACAGTATGGAGATACCTCAGAAATCTGAATACAGACCTACCATATGATTCAGTCAATCCCACTCCTGGGAATTTACCCAAGGGAAATGTTATCAACATATGAGAGTTATCTGTACCCCTGAATTCACAATAGCAAAAATGAAATCCTGTTGATTACAACAAAATGGATGTAACAGGAAAACATTACACTTAGTGAAATAAGCCAGTACCAAAAGGACAAATACCTTATGTTCTCCCTGATCTGTGGTAACAGAACATCTAAAAGGTAATCTATACATGTGAAATTGACACTTTGAGATGACTCTGAACAGCCCTTGTCTCAACTGCTGAGGAACAGTTTCTTTTTCATACTATTTGTTGAACTCTTTACTTAGTATAGAGTTAATCATGTGTATAAAGTTAATTGAAAATAGATCTTAGTAAAAAATAAGAATGGGGGGAGGAGGACTGGTGCAGTGGCACAGGGGGCTAAAGCCTCTGCCCGCAACATCAGCATACCATATAGGCACTCGTCCATGTCCTGGCTGCTCCTCTTCCAATCCATCTCTCTGCTATGGCCTGGGAAAGCAGTGGATCATGGCCCATGTGCTTGGGCCCCCTGCATCCTCATGGGAGACCCAGAGGAAGCTCCTGGCTCCTGGCTTCAGATTGGCTCAGCTCTGGCCATTGCAGCTATTGGGGGGTGAACCAGCAGATGGAAGACATTTCTCTCTGTCTCTCCCTCTCCCCTCTGTCTGTAACTCTACCTCTCAAATAAGTAAATAAATCTAAAAAAAAAAAAAAAAAGGGAAGAGGAGAAAGAAGGGTGGGAAGGGTGGGAGGGCAGAAGGGAGGGTAGGGTGGGAAGAATCACTATGTTCCTAAAATTGTATTTATGAAATGCATGAACTCTGCATACCTTAAATAAAAGGCTTCTGGGAAAAGAAAGACAGACAGATAGACTAGGCTAAATCATCCTCTGTGCTCAACTTTCCCCTACAAATCTATTCTGCCCTGGGAGTCAACACTGAGAAGCTTAAATCATTTCCAAGTCCCAGAGTCCTGAAGATACACACCACAGGCAAATCTCCATCATCTTCTTCCTCCTTTTCTGGTTTAGCGGTAGAGATAGCTGTCCAGCTCACATCATCATCCACAATCCGCATTCTAAATGGAAACAATAAAAAGATCAAAAAGGATACCAATCTAATGATCCATTGGTTTTAAGACAAAGCTCAAAATCCTACAAAATTGCCCAGAGTCTAATTTTTGCTCCCATGGCCAACTTCATCTCATACCACTGCTCCCTCAGTTCAGTCTCCCAGGTCATCCTCTGGTGCCTAGAATGACCAAATTCCTTCCACATCAGCTTTCACATCCGGAATTCCTTTCCCTCTGCCTAACCCACTATTCCCCTATTTACCAGGAAACTCTTATTCATTCTTCAAGTCCTAGCAAAAATATCACTTTCTTGGATACAGCTTCCTTGCCTACCCTCTCCCTGCCCCAAGATCAAGATCTTCAGTTATACTTCCATTGTATTGATCACATTAAGAAATAAATCAATTAGCTGTGTAATCAGTTGTTTAAATCAACTCCATCAGAAGCAGCAGCAGCAAGGCTCTCTGGTTCACAGAGGCATCCTCAACACCCCACAGTAACTGGCACGGCAGGGTATGGTCAGCCTTCCGTATCCACAGGCTCCACATGCAGGTGCACACTGAAAACAGCCAGGTATGACAAGTAATCTAGAAAAGACTTAATGTATACGGGACTTCGTACATGGGTTAATGCAAACAACACTACGCCATTTCACATAAGGAATTTGAGTAATCCATTGATTTTGGGAACCAAGCTCCCACAGATACTGTGAGACAACTGTATTCAAAGAGTGTTTGTTACAAGGATGAAGTGTGATGTGAATAATTATTATTCATAAAGCCTAGGGCAAACATTGATTCAGTGGTTAAGCCACTGCTTGGGACACCCACATCCTATGTCGGAAGTGCCTGGTTCTAGACCTGGCTACACCACTTCTGATCCTGCTTCCTCCTGGTGAGCTTTCTCAGGTACTCAGGTCCCTGCCATCCCCATGGAAGACCCAGATTGAGTTCCTGGCTCTGGTTTCTGCCTGGCCCAGCCCTAGCTGTCACAGGCAATTGGGAAGTGAACTATTTGGAAAATCTTTGTCTCTCTCTCTCTCTGACTTTCAAGTAAGATGGAAACAAACAAAAAATTTTTTTATAAATTTTTACTAGGGCCAGCATTGTGGCCACTACCTGCAAATAAGCTCTGATTTGAGGCCTGGCTGCTCTACTTTCAATCCAGCTCCTTGCTAATGAGCCTGAGAAAGCAGCGGAAGATGGCCCGAATATTTGGGCCCCTGCCAGCCATGTGGGAGTCCTGGATGAAGTTCCGGGCTCCTGGCTTCCGCCTGGTCCAGCCCCAGCCATTGCAGCCATTTGGGAAGTGAACCAGCAGATGGAAAAATCTCCATCTCTCCCTCTCTAACTTTGCCTCTCAAAAGCATAAATACATCTTTAAAAATAATAATTTTTTAAAGATAGGGATACTTGATACAACAATCATTACTTAATATGCTATATTACTCAACTTTACTGTCACTTTAAAAATTAGGAATCTGAAGCTGAGAGATGAAAAGATCTTGCTCACAGCCACACATCCTATAGTGGTCTGGCAAGGACAGAAACACAGATCAGGGTCGCTTCACAACACAAGCTACTACTGCTGCACGGCCATGTCTCCAGCGTCCACACACGAATGGGGAAGAAAGAATGAGGCAAGAATCACACTAGGAGGAAAAGTGGACTGGTTCTTGTGAACTAGTTTGACTTCCCGGGCATATCTGTTTCCTAGGGCTGGCCATCACAAAGTACCACAAACTTGGAAGCTAAAAGTCTAAGGGCAAGTCCAAAAATGCCAGCACATGCTCCCTAGGAAGCCTCCTGGGAAGAGCTTTCCTTACGGCTTCTGGAAGGTCCTCACGGTGGGGGAGATGGGAGGTGGAGACTGGGGGTCTGAGGGTAATGGGGGTGCTGGCTCCTGGCAGCATAAATCCAACCGGATGTCAGCCTCCACGTACACAGGGCCGCTTTCCCTGTGTCTCTTCTTAAAAGAACACTTGCCATATTGGACTTAGCGCCCACCTTAACCAAGTAGGACCTCGTCTTAACTGTAGCATCTGCAAAGAACCTGTTTCCAAATACCGTCTCAGGTGCTGGGTGGACAGGAATCTGGGAGTGAGGAGCACTGTTCAACCCAGAACTTTGGATACGAACATTTTCTCATAAAAAAAAAAAAAAAAAAAGACACAGAAATACCTACTTAATGGGAGTGCTGTGATGCTTAAAGACACTCGTGTTTTAAGTTCTTACAACGGTACTTGTTAAGAACTACAAATGACAAGACTCGTGTTAACAGTAGTTACTACTAAAAGTAACAGCATGCGATCTTGGGTCTCTGGTTCAGGACCAGCGACCACGGGATCTGGGGCACCCACAACCCCACCTCACCCCCCTCCCGCCCCGGGACAGGCTCTGGAACCCTGAAAACCCAAACCCAGAGCCCGAATCAGCCCCACTGCTCTCGGGGCACAACATTCACAGGCTACAGGCGGGAAAGGAAAGTTACAGCCTGGCTCCGACGCGCGAGGCTTAAGCCCTGCGGTCCGAGCCGAGCCCGAGGCTTGGACGGGGGTCGGCCGGGGAATCCGAGGGAGGCCGGCGGGTCCCGGGAGCAGGAAGCGCCGGCGGCCGGGGGCGGAGTTGGGAAGGCCGACGGCGCCACACGCCCCGCCCCAGTGAGCACCACTCACCCCTTACCGCCGGCCCCGCTGGGCTTCGGCCGCTTTTTGCGCCGTTTGCGCCCGGAGTTGGAGGCCCCATCGACGCCGGCATCTGGCCCGGATAAGTAACGCTTCAGGTACTCGGCCTTGGAGAGCGGCGGAGCTGCCGCCATGGCAGCGGCGAGGGCAGGGACGGCTAGGCGTTGGGGACAAAATTCTTGAGAGCGAAACAGACGGCGGCCTTCGAAGGGGTGGAGCCAGAACCGGAAGTAGCGGATCCGCTCCAACCGTGGAGACTGACAGGTGAGCCCTGCCGGTGACGCCGGGGCGGGCTAGCGTAGACATTCCTGCGGTGACGCAATCATGTCTCTTTATTCATCCTACGTACTGGCAACAAGCTGACCCAAACAAGATCCCCTGCCCCCGCGGCCTCGGAACCGCACTGTGATTAAGGTCGCAGGCCTGGAGTGACAGTGGACCCTGTGCGACTTCGGCCAAGTTTTCTAACAAAGTGGGCACAATGATGGGCATAGCCTAACAAAACGGTGGTGAGGACTGAGACATTACTGTGTGCTCATCGGCCTGTGATCCTTTTATCAATGTCAGTATCTTTAGGCGGGCAGGAACCTGCTCCGGTAGGCTACCAGATGCCATTCAAGAGAGGCAGCCAGGGAGCCCAACCCCAGTAAAATTACTGTGGAAAATTCGTAGGCTTCCAAAGCCTGTGCAGGTGCCCCACACTTGGTTCTATTGGTCGCCCCTAGTTCTCTCTTATAGGAAACTGTGTATAATTTTTCCAGTAAAAGGATGTGGATCTACTTTCTGCATACTAAATGAGCGAGGCTGGAGAGACGGAACTCGAATACTCAGGTTTCTGGGGAGAAGACTCTTCTGTGGAGGGTTAAGAGTTTTATTTGAATTCTCTCACTTGGCCCTCTCCGCTGTTTTTGTGAAATAAAGTAATGGCCCGTATTTTCATCTCATCATGTCTGTTAAGTATTTGTCACTGTTTTATTAGTTTATTAGTCAAGTAGGCATTGTGTATTTTACAAATAAATACACCTGTCTTGGGATATATGTTCCAAAACCCTTCACTCACATAACAGGCTGGGAGATGACTGCCTCAAAGCATAACTTGTAGCCACTGGGCCGTACTGAGCGTCTGCAGCCACAGGCCCCGAGTGGAAAGCAGGCTGGGTCTCGGAGGGCTTGTGAGAAGGCGACACTGGACTGGGAAATTAGGATCTTGCTAGCAGAAGGGCCCTATGGGCCCCCTACACAGCCCTGCTTGGCTTCTAATCTTTGTACAGCTCAGACTGAACTTCAGGCGTTTGGAAAGCGTCACCCTTCCGCTCCAGTGAACGTGAGCAGTGTCCCCTCCTCGGCCCCCATCAACCCCTCTCCTGCCCTTATCTGTCTTCAGTTCTGCCAGTAGCCATTCAGCCCACCCCCAACCTCAGCCTGACAAGACTCAAGCTCGAGGGCTCGTGTCTGGCGCAGCGGTTATCACAGTGCCTGAATTCAAGTCCCAGCTCCGTTGCTGACCCAGCTTTCTGCCAATGTGCACCCTGTGAGACCGCAAGTGGTCGCTCAAGTACTTGGGTTCCTGCCACCCACGAGGGAGGCCCAGATGAAGTTCTTGGCTCCTAGCTTTGGCCTGACCAGCTGTGGCTGTTGTGGGCATTTGGGGAGTGAATCAGCTGGTGGAAGATCTGTCTCTCTACCTTTCAAATAAAGTGAAAACACAAAAAGTAAGTGGGATGGATTTCTATTTAAAAAAAAAAAAACAACACAGCCAAGCTCATGCCCCAAACCTCCATTGCAAGGTGGTTAAACAGATCAAATGACTATGTGCCCAGTAGCAGGGTCTGAGCTTTGCCCTGCGTTGCAGCTGCAGCGAACAAAACAAAAGGGTCTGCCTGGCCAGCATTTGAAGTTTGCCTTGTAAAAGCTCTACTTCCTTCTCAAAGTCCCCTAACCTCTCTGAGGTTGTTTCGTCATCTGTAGAATGGGGATAATTTTATTTATAGCTGCTTACTTAGAACACATTTACAGCCAAAAGAGACACTTCAGGATTTTAGTATTAGGAGAAAATATATACAAGTACTTCACAATTAACTCATCCTTACAAAAACCCTACAAAATAGATGCATTATTCCCATTTTACAGACCAAGAACCTGAGGCACTAGAGGTGCCCACACCAAACTCTGAAGTAAACACACAGGACAATCACTGGCTCTTTATCCTTCGCAGTTGAAAACTGCCACTTGCCTATAAAGTATGTAGAGACCCTCCAGTACCCACCTGCATGGTCGCAGGTCTAATGACATGTGCCTCCACTGAGCAGCTCAAAAGATCAAGTAGGAAGCATGCTCTCACTAACAAGTCACTGTCTTCTTCAATCACAAAACTTCCCACTTAGATTTTTATTCTCACACTGGAAAACTGATGTTTGTGGCTGACACTCTCGCCGCCCGCAGCCTTTAGCAGGGCTTTCTTTTCCTGTACCTTGTTACCCACACCTCCAGTGCCCCAACAGGACTCCATCCAGGCTGGATGGTTCATAAGCACCTGTGGAGGATTTTCACAGATATTAGCTTATGCGACATGCGAGGGGCTGGGGGCCAAGACACTCTTTAACAAGAAATAGGCCCACATCCCAACAGGCTTCATGAATGAGAATGCTGTGAAACTCAAGATGCTGACCCCAGTCCTGTCAACAGCAGGACAGGCCTTAGCTGGGTTACTCCAGGCTAGCACCTGGCCCAGTAAGTCTCTGCAGGTTTAGAAGAAACTGTTATCACTATGCAGTAACTGACTGGAGTCCGGGCGATTGCCTCACACCAACTGAACGCCCGAGAGACTCCGTAATAAACCAGAGTGCCATTTTTCTCCTTTCACAGTGGACGATGAACCTGATAGCAGAGCTCATCTTCAAAGACCAGCCCCCAGCCCATGGGGAAGTTCATTCAAGAGGCCAAATGATAGAAGAGGAGGTTGCCGGGTAAACTCAGATACCCTAGTCAGTTGGAAACATAGCTATCGACAGTCTCTTGGGGTAGAGTACTTGCATCTGAGAGGTCGATTCCAAAGTGTTGTGGCTCCGTCGTGTGTGGGAGTCATTTCTAACCCCAGTCTCCAAGTCCTTACCCCACCTTACCTTTGCCCTCACTTACAGAATGAGAGAGGTACAGGAGTTAGTCCCAGGACAGGAAGAGGCGCCAGGAAGCAGAGCCTTCAGAAACTAATACATTTAAGAGGCAGGAGGCAGAGGCTCCACATAAGGAATGGTCGAAGGAAAGGGAAAATTTGGCACAGGACACAAGAGCCACAAGAAGGGGTGAGGAGAGATGACCAACTGTCCACCCAACAGAGGCAGAGAGGATGAGAGCACTTCCAAGTGGAAAATCACTCGTGACCTGTGAGGATGCTTTAACAGGGAGCAGATGTCTGCCGAGTCATCTGAAACTACGCAATTCTTCAGGGTTAAGTTTATGGCACAAGCAGACCTTACTGAACTCATACCCTGCAGCCCACACCGCACGAGTCACAATCCCTTCCTCAGAGGCAGCAGATCACAGTGTGAAGGGCGCTGGTAGGGGAGTGCAGGGGCTCACTGGGCCCTTAACTTGCTACACTGCTGCAGGCAGCCCCTCCTGCTATGGTACAATCCATTTCCCTGTTTGGAACTGAGTGTGCAACTAGCTGATCTCAAATACTCTGGCTCTCACATTCTCCAACCCCAGGCTTTTGCCTTTACGGTTCTCTTTGTCCAGAAGTCTCTCCCTGCAGTCACAAACCTGACTCCCTCCCTGACCTCCTTCTTTGCCCGAACATCAAATGATCACCTTCCTGTTGAGATCTTCCTGTCCACGCTATTCCAAACCTATGTCCCCACTTCCTAACGCTATTCACACCCTCTCCCTGTGAGGCTTTAAGCTCCAAGAAAGAAGAGGCTTATTTTGTTCACTGTTTTGTGGCGTGCCTGGATGAAGCAGCTGAAACTTCTGTGGGAAAAAGGCATAAAATGCTAGCTCTATTCCCAAATTACAGTGGTCACTCTGGAGAAAACTGTCCCTAGGCAGGCCAGAGTCTACCAGCTGATGTCAAACCAGAACAAAGTGAATTCAGAAGCCGGTGTTGTTTGAAAGCCATTGCTTTAATGATACCTTCTCCACCTGTGCTGGACCCCTCCCCTCAGTACTGACTGGAAAGTCAGCACTTCATATACGCAACTCCAACTCCCTGCTGCAGCTGTCACCGGATCCCATCTTGGCCAACATCAGAGTTCCAACTCGAGAGGATGCAGCATTGCGTGAAGGGAGGGTTAAGAGTGGACAGAAAAAATGACGTAATAACATGCCCTGGGGTTCATTTCTGGGTTTATTCCCAGGTCAATTCCAAACCTCCAAAATAAGGTCAAGTAATGCAACAGGCTTGAGCCTGCATCACAAGCTATTTAGAAAGTGTGCCTAGATCGCTGACTCAGGCCGGGAGTCTTCCCAACCACAGACATGGCTGGCGGGGAGGCCTGTCTCAGACTTACTCCAATAGTAAGTAACCCTGCAGTTCGAGCAGTGTGGAGGCAGGCCGTGAACCTCCACTGCTACCGCTGTGGGGCCACACCTGCCTCGTAGCCCTCTGTCTTCATGTCATTGAGCCCTAGCTCTTCGTTTTGGTCAAAAGTGCGCTTATAGTGCTCCACCTTCATCTCAGGATCATCTTCAGGCGCATACACGTTCTGCAAGGCCAAGGACAGACCATCAGTGCCTGCACCACCTCCCCTCCCACATGCAGCTGCCAGCTCCCACTTTCCCCAGAACTCAGTAGTTTATTCTGTGAGGGCCTCCAATTCTTTAAGGCCAGGCTGAACCAGTGGGTAACAGGGTCCACATGGGCCAGCCCAGCCCCAAGCAGAATCAGAGAACAAGTTGCCAAAAACATTTTTATCTGCCCCTTCTTAGGAAAAATGTGACCATAGTCTCAATCATGGAAAAAACTTAGAACACTTTGCCTGACCCTTCACTACTCCACAAGTATTAAAGTGACATCAATCACCAGACTATCACCCCCATCAACTTAAGTCCTAGGTTTCCCCATCTGCCTCTGGATCTGGCTCCACTTCTCACTGCACAATCAGATGTGCAGAATGAAAGCTTCATAACTGGAAGAGCCTAGGAATATTGCCTTTTCCTTCTTCACACAGCTGTGAGACCCATCCCCACGCCCACCTTCCTTGCTCCCTTATCTTCTAACATCTGCCAGAAGCCTCCTGGTCAAGAACAGAGCAATCAGAACCAAGTCTTCCAGTTTCTGGGGAAACTACACATATTCAAGTTACATCAGAAAGTGTACCTGCATGAGACATCAGGGAAGGTCAAGGTCTACGTACCTGCAAGTAACTGTTTCCCGCCGGATCATTCATAATGAAGTGGGCCTTCAGGTGACCTGCCACGATCTGAAGGAGAGAGAACAGGACGTGTACATTCTACACAGGGTAGGACTGGGCTGTGCCTGCCAGACAAGCCCCAGCCCAATTCACACACTGAATCCACCCCCACCCAACCAGGTTTTGAGCACTAGTGAAATCAGGTGCCTTGGAAGTGGGGGTGAAAGGATCTAAAACTGGGATGGCAAACACCCAGCCCGAGGCCCACACAGGCCCCTGAAATCATTTGGTCCAGCCCTAATAAGGCATCTGCCGGCGAGACTCGAAATTCAGTAAATCTATAGCAGGCTGTTTTAAGTTGATAATTTTGTATGGCTCATGAATGATGTTATAAATATCCAAATTGACCTTGGCAGAAAAACAGTTCCCCACCCCAATAAAATATTGTTTGAAACCTATTTATAAACCAATTCAAGCGCAGGTATTTGGCCTAGTGGTTAAGACACAAATTAAGATACCTGCATTCCACAACAGAAGTGTCTAGGCTGGATCCCAGCTGAGGCTCCCAATCCCAGCTTCTGGCTCATGCCAACTCTGGGATGCAGTGTTAACAGCTCAAGTAACTGGGTTCCTGCCACCTACCCACACGGAAGACCTGGATAGAGTTCTAGGCTCTAGCTTCAACCTTGGCCCAGCCTCAGCCAGAGAGAGCAGTTGGGGAATAAACCAGCACATGGGAGCTCTGTCTTCTGTCTCTCTCAAGTAAATAAAATTAAAAGTAGTAACTCAATATCAATCTCATGTCCCACTTCAAAGGGCTAACAATTTTTTCTGGATTGGGGAATTGGCCCAGTTGAGAGCAGAGGGAACAGAGTCAAGAACAAAAAGGTGGGGCGGTGCTGTGGCACAGCAGATTATGCCATGGCCTACACCCCATTATCAGAGGGCCAGCTCAAGTCCCACTTTCCAATCCAGCTTCCTGCTAATGCGCCTGGGAAAGCAGCAGAAGATGGCCCAAGTGCTTGGACCCCTGCCACCTCAGACGGAGTTCCTGGCCCCTGGCTTCAGCCCGGCCCAGCTCCATGCACCATTTGGGGAGTGAACCACTGGATGGAAGATCTCTGTCTCTCCCTCTCTAACTCTGCCTTTCAAATTAAGAAATAAATCTTTAAAAAACAAAAAACAAAAGAGAATATATAAATGTATGCTTCTCAGAAACAGACACACATTCCCCAGCACCCCTCCCACACTCAGCTCAGATACTTCCAGCCGCGCCATTATCCTCAGGACAGAAAGTACCAGAGCCCCCTGGTGGACATCCGACCAGCCCAAGAGGAAAGACCTGACAATTCCGGCATTCATAACCTTAACAAAATGGCTATGCTAGAGCCTGCTATAATGAGCCCCATGTCAGTAAGAATCACCCCCACTGAGGATTTGGGGTTTTGTTATTGTGTTGTTTAGATTTATCTGTTGGCTGGTTTGTAAGGCAGAGGGACAGAGTGAGAGTGAGAGTGAGAGTGAGAGTGAGAGTGAGAGTGAGAGTGAGAGTGAGAGTGAGAGAGTGATCTTCCATCCCTTGGTTCACTCCCAAACAGCCACACAGGCTGGGGCTGAACAAGGAAATCCATCCATCTGGGTCTCCAATGTGGGTAGCAGGCACTCAAGTACTTGGGCCATCTTCTACCACTTTCCCAGGTGCATTAGCAGGAAAGTGGAGTAGCTGGGACATGAAACTGGCAGTTGATATGGGATGTGGATGTCCCAAGCAGCAGCCGAACCCACAACAGCCTCACGACACAATCCAAGGTTTTCAGGCCTCTACTTATAAGCAAACAATGAGTCACCATAAATCTGAGCAACTCTCTCTAACACTGAAAAACATAAATTTGGGGTGGGGGGCAAATAACTTACAGGAAATGGAAATTGCAAGAATTGGAAAAAAAAAAAGAATGCAACATTAACATTCCCAAGAAAGATTACTAATCCTTAAAACAGGATACTATTTTTTAAAAGATGTGGGAGTATTCAAAGTCCACAAAAAGCTCTTAGAAAATAAAAATATTTAGTAGAAACGCAAATTTCTAATTGAAAGGTTAGAAAATAAAGTTCAGGGAATCTTCCACAGTAGAACAATATACCAAGAAACTAAATAGAACAACGAAAGAGTACATTACAGAAGACCAGAAAGTGAGTCTAATTTCTAAAATCTAGGAGTTTTCAGAACTAAAAAGACAATCTTCAGTAGAATTGAGCCACACATGTTTTCCAGATTGAAAGGAAACAATGGTGGGAAACCAACCCGCAGCATGGCACACCCTGAAAGTTCACATCACTGGGAACAAAAAGATCACAAAGTCACAAGCAGAAGATTGGGAACCAAAATGGCTTCAGGCTTCTCAACAGCCAAACTGGGAATGGAAGACAGTCGTACAATGCCTTCCAGTTCTCAAAAGAAATTATTTCTATCCTGGAAATCTATTCCCAGCCAACAATCCAGTGTGAGGGCAGAACAAACAGAGACGTGGAAGATCCCAGAAATTTCATTTTCCATGCACTTTTTCTCAGGAACCTTTGAGAGAAGGTGCTTCTACAAAATAAGGGCGAAAACTGAGAAAGATGGCAGGGGATACAGGAAACAGCAGGACCCCCAACGTGAGGGTTACAGTTTGGAAAAATGGTAAGAGTAAGTAAGCAGCCTCTCGTTCACCTGAGCCCCAGGGCCCCACGTACTGACCGGCCTGGGTCACCTTACCTGGTCCAGCTTCCGGCTAAACTCCTGCAGCTTCTCCACCTGGCCAGGATTGGAACTGTCACCCAGGGTAAAAGGGTTCTTGGTTACCTTCAAGAAATGGCATCCAAATTACTAACTAGTCTTTCAGCTTTATGTCTGCAAGACTTGGCCATTAACCAGACAGGAGGTGGCAGTGGGGTATCCACACCACCTTTCTAACCAAGGCACTGGGATCAATGTATCATGACAACAGAACTGGCAACGAGGAAAACATCCATACACAGGTTCCTACAATATGACCTTGAATCCCTAAATTGAAGAAATGCAAAGGAAAAGTACAATTTTCAATGATCAAATGCCAAGCAACTGAGAATTAGCCAAGTGAAATAAGATAAAATGGCAGAATATTTGCACATAACCTATATATCTTCCTGTATACTTTAAGTCATCTCTGGATGATTTATAACTAACACGGTATAAATGCTACATAAATAGTTGTTAGACTATATTGTTTAGGGAACATGACAAGAAAACAGTCTGTATTGGGGCTGGTGCTGTGCACAGCAGGTAAAGCCACCGCCTGCAGTGCTGGCATCCCATGTGGGTGCTGGTTTGTATTCTGGCTGCTCCACTTCCAATCCAGCTGTCTGCTATGGCCTCGGAGAGCAGAAGATGGCCCAAATCCTTGGGCCCCTGCACCTGCATGGGAGACCCAGAAGAAGCTCCTGGCTCCTGGCTTCGGATCGGCTCAGCTCCAACTGTTGTGGCCAATTAGGGGGTGAACCAGCAGATGGAAGACATCTCTCTCTCTCTCTCTCTCTCTGCCTCTCCTCCCTCTGTGTAACTCTGAATTTCAAATAAACATATAAATCTTAAAAAAAAAAAGAAAGAAAGAAAACAGTCTGCACACATTCAGCACAGGTGCAATTATTTTTCTGATATTTTCCAATCCACGACTGGGCCAAAACACACATAAGCAAGCAGACTTCACAACGTTCATGGAAAGTGACATTTTGGTCCAAAAATCTTAAAATCTATGCATAGTTTGTTTTGTTTTTTATTTTTTAAAGAATTATTTCATTCATTTGAAAGAGTTAGAGAGAGCCAGAGAAAGAAAGAGGGGGGTCTTCCATTCCACTGATTCACTCCCCAAATGACCACAACAGCCAGAGCTGAGCTGATCCAAAGCCAGGAGTCAGGAGCTTCTTCTGGGTCTCCCACATGGGTGCAGAGGCGCCAGGACTTGGGCCATCTTCTGCTGCTTTCCCAGGCCACAGCAGGGAGCTGGATCAGAAGTGGAGCAGCCAGGACTTGAACCAGTGCCCATATGGGATGCCAGCACTGCAGGCTGGGGCTTTAACCCGCTACACCACAGCACTGGCCCCTAGCATAGTTTTTTCATAACATGTGTTTTTTTGTTTTAAATATCCCTCTTCAAAAGATTCATAGGTGCATACTATGAAAAATATCTGCAGGGATTTCAAAATCTTTTGCACCAAAATATAAAAATATCTTTTAATTTCATTTTCTGTGAACTTTGTAAAGTACCCTCATATGTATGTTGTAAGGTACCCTCACATGTATGTTGCAGGGTTTCTTAGGTGCTAAAAGGACCTCATCTCCTCATTTCATAGTGAAATCACTTACCCAAAACCAGAAAATAACCACATAGTCCCAGAGTAGGCCTGGGAACTTCCATTCAAAATTTCCCATAAACTTTCCTTCACAATAAATAATATTTAAGTCTTAGGCCAGCTTTACAACAAAGCAGCCCCAGTTAGCAAAAACAAATGAGGACATGTGAGGTCTCCCAGCCCTTTTTCCATAGCCAAACTGCTGGAAGCAGTTGTACCCACACCGCGGACTCACCAGTTCCCGGATGTCTTTCAGCAGCCCCTCCAGTGTGGTGAACTTGCCCCCCAGGACAGCCATTCCCAGCTCAAACTCTAGCTCCGGGATTTCCACGCTACATGTCTCAGACTGTGAGATAAGAGGACAAATTAAAAAAAGAAAAAAAAAAAAGAGGTCAACTTGAGCTTTAAATCAAGAGCAAAGAAAGCAAACCAGAGGCCTCCTGCCAAATTAACACAACCAAGTGACAGTTTGGGGACAAAGTCAGCTGTCCCAGTTTTTTTCTGACTCCCCAGTTAGAGCTAGAGACTCGCTCCTGTCCATCTGAACCACAGAAATGGAAGCAACTTAATAAAGGGACACGGAGTCGTACTCCAAGCTGTCAGGCAAACTGTCACAAGACCTCAGAGAAGAGGGCTCCAAGTCATCAGCAAGAGCTAATGAGTCACCTCCAGATCTGCCATTTCAACCACAGGTGACCCCTGCCCAGGGACCCTCAAACCCAGGGGGGTAAGGGGGTCGCCATGTCCCTGAACATTATTTTAAGACTATTTCCTCCACGCAGAGGGACAGCTGTAGGAGCACGAGCAGGTTCTCACCTTGAGGAGGTCTCTGGTCATATCTGAGGGCTCTGTGATGTGAAGGGTGATCTTGGTGCCCAACGGCTCCACTGCTCCTCCAGACTTCACCTGCACAGACGACAATCAGGAGCGGCAGAGAGAAGCCCAAACCTCACCTGGTGCAGGGAGACCACCAAGGGCAGGCTCCAGTCATGGCTCCCAACACAGAACCTTCGAAACCAGTAATGGCAGCAGTTCCCCCAAACCAAAAACATCAGGTACAGAGGGCCCAGCACCAACAGCACACCAAAGCTTGTCCCAAAGTGCCAAGAAACTCTGAATTCACCTTTTAAAAAAGAAATCTGACTCTTAAAAGAGACTTTTAACCACTTAGTCTAGTTCTTACATTCACTGATCCAATGTGTGGGTCTCCTTTACAGTATTCTGATTTAAGAATTTAATCAGTGCATGCTTCAAGACAATGTGCAACCCTCCCAGGCACCCCATTCTATTTTCAGACAGCTCTAATAAATTCTTCATTCAGAATCAAAATCTGTCTCCCTGAACTTCCACCACTCCGAGGAGTAGGTCAATAGCCTTCTCTTTAGGAGTCTGCATTGTGGCACAGCAGGTTAAGCTGCCACCTGCAACGCTGGCATCCCATACAGGCATTGGTTCATGTCCAGGCTGCTACACTTCCGATCCAGCTCCCTGCTAATGACCTCAGAAAAGCAGCAGCAGATGGCCTAAGTGCTTGGGCCTCTGTCACCCACGTGAGAGACCTAGAGGAAGCTCCTGGCTTCAGCCTGGCCCAGCCCTAGCCATTGTGGCCATCTGGGGAGTGAACCAGAGGATGGAAAATCTCTCTCTCTTTAACTTTTTCAAATAAATTGATTTAAAAAAAAAAAAAGCCTTCTCTTTCTATCGTTCTACATTAGGATTTCTCTAACTTTCCTTCACTAGGCTCATTCTCTGTTCCTTCAAGAGTTCCTTACCCAACGCTAAGCCCAAGGGAAAGTTCCAGTCCACCATTCCCTCCCATCCCTCCTCCCCAGGCAAAATCAGGAGGAATGTGAGTCAGAGGGGGGCTGCCCTCAAGCTAGTCTTCTCATTCGATGGAGCCCACTCACCTCATTGGTCCGATGTCCACAGTTCTCGCAGTTGGTGGCCATGATGATAACTTCCTTAAAGTGGGGGATTTCTGGCAGATGGAGTTAAGGAATTCTGCTTCCAGGGAAGCAAGAGCACTCTCTGGGGAAAAACAAAGCCGAACCCCACACAAACAGGTGTTGCTCCCACGACCACAGAATTGTATCACAAGAGGCAGCCTAACTCCGAGAGGGCTCAGAAGAGAGCAAGCTCCCGACCCCTGGCAACTCCTGATCATTCACATATGAAGACGTGACTCAAGCCACACACACAGGCGCCTCAAAACCATGGAATGAGTTTCCCTGTGAACCCAAAGTGAAATTACATGTTTAATCAAAGGCAGCATTATCCTCTTCAATACTGCAAACACAATTTTTTTTTTTTTTTTTTGTTTTTGTTTTTGGACAGGCAGAGTGGACAATGAGAGAGAGACAGAGAGAGAAAGGTCTTCCTTTGCCGTTGGTTCACCCTCCAATGGCCGCCGCTGCAGCCGGCGCACCGCGCTGATCCGATGGCAGGAGCCAGGATCCAGGTGCTTTTCCTGGTCTCCCATGGGGTGCAGGGCCCAAGCACCTGGGCCATCCTCCACTGCACTCCCTGGCCATAGCAGAGAGCTGGCCTGGAAGAGGGGCAACCGGGACAGAATCCGGCGCCCCGACCGGGACTAGAACCCGGTGTGCTGGCGCCGCAAGGTGGAGGATTAGCCTATTGAGCCACGGCGCCGGCCTGCAAACACAATTTTAGATATACTCGGCTACTTGGCTCGTGGCCAAAATACAGTCCTCCTGCCTGAGTCAGAAGAGCATCCCAAGAGCTTGCCAAAAGATACGTACTAGCTTCATGTTAGTCTGAGCTGGGGCATTGCATTCTGGGCAGTTTGTGTTGAACTGCAGCACCTGGAAGACAATATGGGGCACAGGGTGAGCCCTCCTGGGTGTGATGCTTAGGCTAAAGACATCCGCCCAGGCTGCTCATGGTCACCTAACATCTTCTGGGCCCACAACTCTGCTCCTCCCTCAACAGCAGGCAGAATGACTCACTTCATTTCTGAGATCTTCCTCTTCGGGCTTCTCCTCTGGTGCTTCTGCCTAAACAGCAGAGATACAGATCACAAGTTGGCAGGGGGACCTCAGCTCACCCAACACCCTGCCCTGGACTGGGAGAAACACTGCGGTTATGTCAGGTGCCACCTCATGGGGGAAGGAATCCAGCAAGTGAAGCCCCAAGCCGGGGAAGAACAGGGCTCAAAATGGGCCCACAGTCACTGCTTCCTTTCTGTGAAGTTTACACCAAGTCCTGGACATGAGTTAGATGAGAGGCACAGACAAGCTGAGGTAGCGTCACAGGGCATCAGCAGCAAAGAGAGCTTCTGCTGACCACAAGCAATCCAGCGTGCAAGATATCTCCAGACTATTCTTCTTGCTCCTTCAGTCTACTTACCTGGAGCCCCAGCATCTGCTCCTGCTCTGGGGTGCGGCTGTAGTGTGTGATCACCAGGGCATCATCTTTCTGAGGGGCATGTGGGTTTTCCACAAAGCTGTTCCCTGAAGGATCATCGATGATCTAACAGAGTAATTGCAACAAGAACTCATATACAATGCTCACAGTCCCAGGCAGTTTGAATGGTCTGTCCTGAGCAACTATAACCCCACAATACTCACCAGAGTGAAAGGAGAGTCCATTAGTTTTAGTTCTTTCAGTCTGAAGATGAACTCATCAATTCTTTCAGCTATGGCATCTTCATTCGCCTACCATAAACAGAAAGTAAAAGCGTCAGCCCTGTCATGCCATGTCCACCAAGAGACTGACACCTGTCTTAGTGTGAATGGGAACTGAGCAATGAGATGTCAAAAACGAGCCTGAAGTTGATGGGTGGTGCCAGGGTATCTTTTATTTATGTGGCCCAGGCCACCTTCATGCCGGGTAAGGGACAGAACAGACCTCTGATGGGGCTCCCGACTCAGCTGCAGCCAGATGACCAAATGCACAGTTATGTTATTTCTCTGATGCTAAGTATAAAATACAAAGGGACATTTAGAAAGCACAGAGAACCAGAAGGGGATCAGGATTCAGAGGCATTGTTAAGTTGTCCAGGATGAGGCCTGAGCATACACTGGGGGAGGGAGGAGAAAGGAAATATAGCACCCTGGCCACTGCAGGACCACACATGCTCCCCGCAAAGTACTCTGACAGTCAGTGAGACACCATTGAGCCCCCTGGGAAGCTGACGCTCTACCAGACCCACATATGCAATTATCCCTTGAGTTGCTGCAGCCAGAAAACCCCAGCTCACCCTTCGTGTGGGCTGGTCCTGCTCGAGGCCAGAGATAGCACGGTTGATCAGTCCTTCAACAGTGGTCAGAGCTTATGAGCAGAAAGGAAAGGTCAGTGAGTCTTAAGCTCCGCCCCCAAGTGCCTATGCCACCCTGGGTCACTCTACAACAGGAAGCCATCAGCTCTGACAGCAGAGATGCTAAAATTCTATGATAAGGACACCACTGCCTCACTATCCCTCTCTACTATATCAAGCCACTGTTGTACCAATGAAGATCGCAATGACCACATGGCCAAACACATACACAAGCGACTAGGCCTGATACCTTGCGGGACCATGCGAGAAAGCAAGAAGACTCCAGCTACCTATGAACAGCCCGAATACCTCAATGACGTTAAGCTCACCTCCCTTCTGGCTGAAGGCAGGGATTTCAAAATCCAGCTCAGGGATCCTTGTGGTGGCAGAGTCAGTCTTCACCACTTCTCTGTTCATGTCCTGGACAGAAGGGGAAACCTTCAGTGCGGAGAGATCAGGAGCACAGCTTCGGCCAGCGCCGCGGCTCACTAGGCTAATCCTCCACCTTGCGGCTCCGGCACCCTGGGTTCTAGTCCCGGTCGGGGCGCCGGATTCTGTCCCGGTTGCCCCTCTTCCAGGCCAGCTCTCTGCTGTGGCCAGGGAGTGCAGTGGAGGATGGCCCAAGTCCTTGGGCCCTGCACCCGCATGGGAGACCAGGAGAAGCACCTGGCTCCTGGCTTCGGATCAGCGCGGTGCGCCAGCCGCAGCGTGCCAGCCGTGGCGGCCATTGGAGGGTGAACCAACAGCAAAGGAAGACCTTTCTCTCTGTCTCTCTCTCTCTCACTATCCACTCTGCCTGTCAAAAAAAAAAAAAAAAAAAAGAGCACAGCTTCTCCTGGGGAAAGAACCAGCCCAGCCAGCAGCATCTCTCTCTCTCCACTCCAGTGGTGTGAACACGCTACCCAAAGGGCGAGAAGAGCATTCGCTTAGTTCACGCTCCTACAAAATCCACGGCCCGTGTTCATAAATCCTATCTCACCCGAGCAGCTGATGGTACCAAAAGGGGAAACCGAGGCTTCGAGACCCGTGGGAATTTATTCCTGGTCTGACCGCACAGATCGGACCTCAGGCCCTGATACGCTGGGGCACTGCGCTGGGATGCCCTCACCTCCGAAGATCTGACGGTCAAGGCATAACGCACTCCCTGGTCCTGGATCCTGCCTGCCGACTGGATCTCCGTGTTGTCCCAGCCACAGTGCTCGCAGGAGAAGGAGCTCACGATGATTTCTCTGAAGAAGGGGATCTTGGTGAGCAGCAGCCGCGTCATGCCCTACGGCAGCACAGAGGAAGAAGGAAAGAACCAAATGGAACCCCGGTTCCCCGCCTTATGGATCGGACCCCGAGCCAGCCCGGCGGGACACACCTCCGGCCCCCGCCCGCTCCAGCCCTGCCCTCCCGCCGCCGAGCCCCCGTCTCACGTTGCGGTAACAGTTCATGCACAGCGACTCGATCTCGGTGGGCTGCTGCTCCTCGTCCTCGGCGTTGATGGGCCGGAACAGGTGCCCCGCGGCAGGAGGCCCGGCCGCGGTGGGCGAGGGGGCAGCCGGGACGGCCGCGGCCCCCGGGGGCCCGGGCTCCACAGCCCCGCTGGCCGACATCACCACGCGCAGCTCCAGCCTCGGCTTCCGGCTTCCGGCTTCCGGCGCGCTCGCGGCCCCACCCCTTTACCCGGCACTTCCGCCGGCCGCCGCCCTCGCCCCTTTTTAAAGTACTCGCCGGGCAGTCGGAGACGAGGGCTCCCGGTTTACCCGGGTTGCGTGGACCGCCACAGCCCGCTGGGTCCGCCGCAGTTCAGCCGTGATTTCCTGCAGGACGTGTTTTCTAGACGCAGGGGCATTTTTTTTCCGCTCTTGGCAATAGCTCCACCGCATCTCACAAAATTCTCTCAGCCCTTAGGTCTAAACAATGGAGCTCCAGGACAGAGGGACCTAGCTTGTCCCTCCCTGGGTATCCTCCACGGAGCTGCGCTGCAGGTCCCCTCTCGGGGTGGCCCAGCTTCTTCTCAGCCCCTCGGTCCCTCTCTCCCTTTGTGTGCGTCCCACTCCCCATTCTGCCTTCTTAAGCACCTCCCCAACTTCCAGCCTCCAGCGCGCACGCAGCCCCCGTTTTTGCCGCCCTCACATCCCCCTCCCCCCCAGCTGACTCACCCTCCAGGCTTCCTGACCACAGCCCCACCACCTCCTTTCCAACGTGGCACACTTTTCTTTCTACCACTTCCTCTCCTTGTGCTGGGGCCACAGACCACAACTTTGTGGCTAAGAGTGGCTAAATGCAGAGTGTCAGGGAAGACCAGGTGATGCACTCAGATTCGTGGGGGGTCTTGCGGTGGGAGGGGCGGGAAAGGGTGCTTCCAGGGAGGGAAAGGGGTCTGTTTGTCCTTTCCTCTTTGCCCCACCTCACCCCCCGGTTCCCAGGGGGTCCAGGAAGGCTTTTGGTGATCCTGAGTGAGTATGTATGAGGGTGAGGGGCTAAGAGTTTGGGGGATCCCAAGAAAAAGAGGCCATCAGAGTGTAGAACATCAGGGACAAAAGAGGCAGGCACCTCAGTGCCACCAAGGCCATACTCTCCTGCAGTGACAGGCTGTGTTCCACCCACACAGTCCTGTGGCAAGCAACCTGTTGAATAGGACCAGTGCAGAGAAAGCCTGCAAGCCGGGTCCACCCTACCAGCCGCGACAGACAGCTGTAGTGTAGCCAGAAGCCCCTGGGAGGGGCTGATGAGAAGAGGCACAAGGGGTTGCAGTGGGGCACGGGTGTGCTTTGCAGACTGTATATGTCCAAATGAGAGTCACAGCAGGCCAGCAAGCGTCCATGATAAGCATCTATTTCAGCAGAGCCAGACAGCCAGGCTTCAGCCTGGGAGTCAGGAGAGAGTGGCCCGGGATGGGGCGAGCACATCCCCAGGGCGTTGTAAGTAGCCTCCCGCACGTTGGAAGGCTCAGTCCCTTATTATGTGCAGAGCCCAGTATAGAAATATGGGCTCTGCCGGCTCCCGTCACTGCCTCTGCCATTCATTCTCAGTGGCACTGGAGCCAGCAGAGAAACATACACAGGACCCTCCCGTACTCTCCCTCTGGGGGTGTCCTCCATCCTCCCTCATGGTCCCCTCCTGTATCCCGCCTCGGCAGGGGACCAACTGCCCCTCTGGCCGCTAGGTGGCCACAAGTGATTGGAGCTCAGCTGCTGGATGTACCCCTAGTGGCGGCACAAGCTACAGGCGCCGGCCGATAGTGACCTGCAGGCGTCGGGCGTAGGGCGGCTGTCCCTCCCCATTCCCTCCAGCCCTGATTGGAGCAACTCTGAAGATTCCCAAATGAGCACGGGAAGCTGGGTTTACAGTGCCTGCTGAGTGTAATGTGTCCAGATGGGAGAGTCGCAGGGGGCCGGATACGCCCGCACAGCAGTCCTTCAGCCACCTCAGCTGTCCTGTAGGACCCTCCGCCCTCCACCCAGCAGGCCTCTTTCAACGACTGCACCCTGCCAGAGGCTCAGATCCATGCTTCTCCAGACAAGAGTTGCGGAGTGGGCCTGGGCAAGCAGACCCTCAGGGCTCCCCCAGATGGCCATGGCCCTGGTCATGGAGGCTGTAAGTGATGTCTTCCCACAGGTCATCCAGACGCGCCTGCAGCTTGCTCAGGGCCTTGCCATTGTCCATTTGCCGGAACTCGGGAGCGAAGGCACTGTGACCAGGAGGGGGCGGCGCCAGCTGCTGCTGGACCTCCTGGGTCTCCTGGTCGATGGTGCGCGTGAAGTCGGCGATCTGCAGGAAGGTGTCATGGCGGAAAGCCTGGAGTCGCTGGCGCACCTCCTCAGAGAGCACCTGAGGGTCCGGGCCGGCTCCCTCCCCAGCCCCGTCCATGCTGGCGCCCACAAAGGCGCTGAGCTCATCGCGCAGCTGGTCCAGGTTCTGCTGGATGCGCGCGTGCAGGGCCCCCGCCTTGAGCGTGAGCTTGTGCGAGAGCGCCTGCATGCAGCGGCTGAGGCGCGCCGGGCTGGCGGCGGCGTGCGGGGCCACGCTGCGGTGCAGCTCCTGCACGTGGTGCCCGATGCCGCTCAGCAGGCGCTCGGCGTACGGGTGGAAGAGCTCTTTGACGCGGCTGGTGTGGTGCCTCACGCGGCCCTGCAGTTCCTGCAGCAGGCTCAGCGCCTGGTCCACACCCCCCAGCAGCTGGGCCTTGGCGTCCTCCCCTACCATGCGCAGCTGCTCCTGTAGCTCCTGTGCCTGCTGGGCCACCTGCTCCATCAGCTCCTGCGTGTAGGGCTTCAGTTGCTGCCGCAGCCCCTCCAAGTTCGAGCCCACGAGCTCATGCACCTCCGCCATGTAGGGCTCCAGGCGTGCCTTCAGCTCCTCCAGCTCCTCCTGCAGCTGCTGTTGTATGCTTGCTGGGTCTGGTGGCAGCCGAGGTGGCTCCTGCGCCTGCACGCTCATAGGACCCAGCTTTTCCAGGAACATGTTCATGTTGCTGAGGTCTTGCTCAAGGCTGTCTTTCAGGCTCCTGGGGAAGGGGGCAGACACCCAGGCCATCAGACTGCCGGCCTCATCATCTCCTTTGCTCGCAGGGGCATTGCACACTGATCCTCTAGGGAAACTGAGGACATCGGGCTGTGGCCCCAGGGGATGGGGCTCCAGTCCTCACCCCCTAACCAACCACAGCTCCTCGCACACAAAGCCCAAGCCATCACACATGCAAACCCAGATACGTATCACCGTACAAAGAAGCATGGGTGTACCGCCATTCTCCAGCATCCTTTCACTGTGGGGATCTCAGAATTAGGGCAGTCCCCCTGCTAAATCCTGGTCCCATGGCTCAGTGGGCAAGGGGGCAGCCGCTATGGCAAGGTCAAGGGTGCTGAAGAGCCCCAGGGAGGGGGAATTGCCAGCAGAGGTAGCTCAACTCCTGTCCCCTGAATGAGGGCTCAGAGGTAGCAGCGAGCGTAGTATCCCATGCCTGGCTGGCTCCTCGCCTGCTGGCACCCCTGGCCCTGGACACTCACACTGGCTCCCGCACCAGCTTCTGCTGCTGGCTCTGCTCCTCCCTGCCTTTGTCCCTGCTGCTCTGGCTGAAGTAGTCCCAGAAGCCTCTCCGTGCCTGGGCGGCTGAAAGCACTGCGGGGAGAGAAGGGGTGTAAGGCGCTCCCGCGGCGGCCGCCCCTCTGGCCAGCGTCCACCCTCACTCCCACACTGGCTCAGGGTTGCAGACCCACCTGAGAGCAGGGCCAGAGCCCAGGTGAGGATTGCCGCCGAGCTTGCCATTATTGCGGACTCTGAGAAGGAACATGAAGAAGCGAGGGAAGGGATAGGCCCCAAGAGCAGCCTGCCCCAAGGCCCTGGCGACTCGGGGGCACAGAGCTGGGGTGGGGTGGAGCTCTGGAGGGCTGACCTGGGTGAGTAGGGGAGGCCAGGTGGAGAGGGTTGTCTTCCTCAGATGGGGGGAGGAAGCCTCACCTCAGCCACACAGTAGGGAGTGAAGAGTTCAACCCTCTTTGCAAAAGTGCCCCCATCCCTCCTGAACCCCAAACCCCAGAAGCAGATCCCTAGTCCTCTTTGGCCACCACCCTCACTCACCTACCTCCCTGCCTTCCATTGCACGGCTGGGGATACTGTGGCACGTGGACAGGCAAGAAGCAACTCTGCCTAAGTGCTCCAGGAGGCTGTCTCAGTTCCCACCCTCAGCTCTGTCCTGAGGGCCCTAGCACTCCCCTCCCTAGAGGCTGTGACTCCATCCCACTGCCCCGGAGGCTCACCTGCTCGGTTCTGGGCACAGAGAGCAGACGTTTGCGCTTTATACTCCGGAGGCCGGGGTCCTGGCAACAACTGCTCTTGGTAAATACCACGTGGAGGTTCAAAGAAGGGTGACCTCAGCTGCCTCCCAGCACTCACCTCCTGCCCTTTTCCTGGCACCCAGAAGATTAAGGAGTTCCCTGGGATCAGGGGCTGCCCCAGCAGAGAGTGCTTTCTGGAAAACATGTCTAGTGGGGCTGAACCGGTGGCCCACTTGTCCCCGAACCCCATGGCTGGCAACCGTCCCACTGTCCGCTTGCAGGCTGGCCCCTCGGGAGAAAGGAGCCTGTTTGTCTGCTGGGAGCCCCACTCTTGCTCAACTACCCTGAGACACTGTGCCCCAGCCAGCTAGCCAGCCAGCCAGCCAGGACGGCGTCCAGCTGCAGCCAGAGCCGGGCAGCCCTTGACAGCCCCAAGTCAGGCTAGGCAGGCAGCCGGCAAGAGCCAGCATTTATAGGCTCAAAGGCCCTCCCACCGCCTGATTCATGAGGTGATCCTGGAAGAAGCAGAGGAAGCAGGCAGGGTGGAGATGAGCAGTACCAGGGACTCTGGACCGAAGAGAAGGGAGAGAGAGAAGGCTTCCCCCCAGTGCAAAAGACTGAAGTCCAGCCCCCGGGCCTCCCAGGAGGGGAAGCTGGTGACATTCTCACTCCTTACGCACACACATCCACAAGCTCCTGCCCCTACAAGCATCTTGAATCCATGTGCCCTCTCTGCCATTTTCCCCACTGCCACCACCCCGGTTTTCTCCCTGGTTGCACTCACAGCCTCCCACGGGCTCTCGGCCTCAGGCCTGCACCTGCGGACCATCCTCTCCTCCTGCTCACTGTCCGTTTCCAGCCTCATCTTGCTGCACAAAGCCTTGGCATTCGCTGAGCACCCCACCCCGCTGAGCCATCGGCTGTACCGTTCCCTCTGCGTGGCACAGTCTGTCTTCCGGTGATGGATATTTTTCTTTTATAACCAGACTTAGTATGTGCAGTTTTATTTCTCATGTCAGTGTAAGCCATGCAGGACTCTGTCTTGCTGCATTGTCATACTCACTAAGAGGCACACGTCCAGGGCCTGCACTGTGGCGTAGTGAGTAAAGCCACTGCCTGTGATGCCGGCATCCCATATGGGCACCAGTTTGAGTACCAGCAACTCCTTGCTAATGGCCTGGGAAACCAGCAGAAGCTGGACCAAGTGGGTGGCCCCTGCCACCCACCTGGGAGACCTTGAAGAATCTTCTGGTTCCTGGCTTCAGCCTGGCGCAGCCCCAGACATCATTTGGGATGTGAATCAGTGGTTGAAAGATTCTCTCTCTCTTCTGCCTTTCAAATACATGAATGAATCTTTTATTTATTTAAAAGAGGCTCATGTCCAAGGTGCAGCTGCTCTGGCTCCTGTCAGCAAGTGTACCTCCCAGCCAGCTGGAAGAAGGAAAAGAAGGACATGTTCCCTCCCTTTGAAGACACATCCCAGAGGTTGCCCTTACCACCGACATCTCACAGGCTAGAACTTAGTCACACGGCTGAAAAGGAAGCTGGGAAATGTAGTCTTTATTCTGGCTGCTGGCGGGCCCTGCTGAAAGGGGGCTTCATTATTTAGGAAGCAGAGAGGAACGGATCTGGGGGCACAGCAGCAGTCCCTGCAGCATAGCTCTGCACGCCCTCTCCGCCTTCACCCCTGCCTGCTCTGCGGACAGATCGGCTCCTCATTACTCACGCAGCACCGTGAGTGTTGCCATATTCCAACACATGTTACCATGTAGTGCAAGGATTTGGTGACACATCAGAGAGCCTAACGTAGGCTCACCAAGGGTTGCCAATGGGAAAGTGTATACTTGAAGGACATAAAGGCAGTCGAATTGATAGCACTTGGTGGTTGATGGGATGATGAGGTAAAGGCAAAGAAGGAACCCAGATGATTCCCCGGTTTCAGGGCAACAGGGAGACGAGCATTCCTTTCACCAACCGCAGGAGCCTACCAGAGGAAGAGAGGGTTGGGACCGGCAGTGAGAGCCCAGTCTAACAGCAGTCCTCGCTGGAACCTAAGCTGGGTTCCCGACAGACACAGGGCAAGCCCCACTGAGATCTGTTTGCATAATGGCCAAGGAGAAATTCATTAGAAAAGAAAACAAGCAACAGGAACTACAACCTAGTCACAAAAACTCTAGTCATCAGGGAAGGGAAACTCAGAGGGGCGTGTGTTCAGGGATGAAAGATGATAGTGGAGAGCCCTGAGAATCTCGATTTGGGGGCAGGCATTTGGCCCTGAGGGTGGGACGCTGGTTGAGATGCCACATCTCAGATCAGAGTGCCCACGTTGGATATCCAACTCCGTCCTGATTCCAGCTTCTTGCTAATGCACACACCCTGGGAAGCAGCAGGTGACAGCCCAAGGAGTTGGGTTTCTGCTACCCATGTGGGAGACCCAGACTGAGTTCCTGGCTCCTGGCTTTGGCCTGGCCCAGCCTCAACTGTTACAGGCATCTGGAGAGTGAACCAGTGGATGGGACCCCTCTGTTTCTCTGCCTTACTTTTTTTTTTTTTTTAAGATTTTTTTTTTGAAAGACAGTTACAGAGAGAGGTTGAGAGAAGAGAGAGAGGTGTTCCATTCCACTGGTTCACTCCTCAGATGGCTGCAAAGGCCAGAGCTGCGCTGATCCAAAGCCAGGAGCCAGGAGCTTCCTCCAGGTCTCCCACTCAGGTGCAAGGGCCCAAGGACCTGGGCCATCTTCTACTGCTTTCCCGGGCCATTGCAGAGAGCTGGATCTGAAGAGGAGCAGCCCGGTCTTGAACCTGTGTCCATATGGGATACTGGCACTTCAGGCCAGGGCGTTAACCCATTGCACCACAGCACCAGCCCCAGTAAATAATTTTTCTTAAAGGGAGGTTGAATGACATGGAGTATGGAAGGAGGAAATCCCACAGACCCTGCATGACATCCACCAAGAGAAGAGAGAGGCGATTGCAGACGCAGTGTTCCAAACATGATGGTACAGAAATTTCACAAATGAAGGATGTGACCTGAAGTGTCAGAGTCCAAGTAGGATAAATTAACACAAGCCCAGATCAACACACACTGTGGCCAATCTGCACAGCATCAAAGACAATGACTATGAAAAATCAACCACAGAGAAAACAGTCATTATCTACAAAGTATGATTAACCTGACTGCTGACTTAACAGCAATACCCTTAAATCTTCAAAAGACTGATGGCAAATTAATGGTCAACCAAGCATTCTACTCGGTGAACTATTAATGGGGAGTAAATTGTTTTCAGAGAAAGGCAGGAAGTTTTAGCACTCTCAGGCCCTCACTGCAAGAACTAGAAAGATTTGAAACGGAAACAGAACCCAGAAAAAAAAGAAGAGTTGATAAAAGGAGACACAGGTAGCCAGGAAGTTAGTCAATGTTTTAGGTAAACAAACAAAACAAAACAAAAAAGCATTAGTGAAAATACACCACGGGGCCAGCATTGTGGCACAGTGAGTTAATCTCCATTTGCAATGCCGACATAATATATCAGAGTGCTGGTTTGAGTCCCAGCTGCTCCACTTCTGATTCAGTTCTCTGCTAGTGCACCTGGGAAAGCAACAGAAGATGGCCCAAGTATTTGGGCCCCTTGACTCTCAGCTTTGGAATGGACCAGATTGCTGTCTCTTCCTCTCTCTCTCTCTCTCTCTCTCTCTCTCTCTCTCAACAAGTAAATAAATCTTAAAAAAAAAATACACAGAGGCCAGCGCTGTGACATAGCTGGTAAAGCTGCCACCTGCAGTGCCGGCATCCCACATAGGTGCAGGGTCAAGTCCCAGCTGCTTCACTTCTGATCCAGCACTCTGCTACGGCCAGGGAAAGCAGTAGAGGATGGCCCAAGTCCTTGGACCCCTGTACCTACGTGGAGGACCTGAAAAGAGCTCCTGGCTCCTGGCTCCTGGCTTTGGATCTGCCCAGCTCCAGCCATTGTGGCCATCTGGGCAGTGGACCGGTGGATCGAAGACTTTTTCTCTCTCTCTGCCTCTCTCTGAATTCTGCCTGTCAAATAAATAATCTTAGGGGGAAAAAAAAGTAAGCAAACCTATATTATGAAAGTTCCTTTTAAAAAAAACCATATGCAGATGAGATATGTTTTTATAACTAAAATTGATCAAATATTGGCAATTTCATATAGTTCTAACAAAATATATATGTAATTTAATTCATTGCTGTATTTGCAGTGCTTTATGCTTATCACATGATAGGGGGTCTAAATGTGTGTGTGTGTGTGAGACAGAGAGAGAGGGAGAAAGAGAGAAAGACTACTTTAAGAAAAATGTTTAAAAAAATGCGGAACTAAAATTGCAGGGCAAAGTAATGTGAAAATGAGAGCAAGAGCAAAGTTAAAGCATTCAGTAGTCTTTGCATTATTCAGAAGGAAGTCAGGAATATTGATTACCTTTAGACTTTGTTAGGTCAGGCAAGAATACCAAAAATTTTAAAGATAACCCATTAAAAGAATGGGAAGAATGGGTGACTTTGACCGGGTGTTTGGGCAAGGGACTAAAGAGCATCAGATTGATTTCTAGTAAAGGAGGACGGGTTGAGTGCATGCATTAGCCACTGCTGTGTTCTGCAATCCCAATAAAGTGGCATGAAAGTGCACTTCTTAAAAATGCATAAACCCACAAGAAGAATAGAAAAGGAGACAAAAGCAAGAACATTGTGGAAGTGGTAAAGTTCCCGGATGGTCCATCGGTAGTAACTGGGCAGACTTGAGAAGATGCATCTTGAAGCTCCTCAAAGCCCAGACACCGGCCACAAGAGGTTCTTCTAGCAGCCTGGGTGACGGTGGGCCTGAAGTCGTCGTTCTTGGCTGAGAGCCCTGAGGAGCAGCTGTGCTCCAGCTCTGCCCAGCTGGGTGGCTGTCCTTTCCACCTGCGGCTTGCTCTCTGGAAAATGGGGGTGAGGGTATGCGGGGGGTGTCTCTGGCCCATGGGCAGCCAGAGTCCTGGCATTTAAACAAATTAAGGAAAACTTCAAGTATTAAATGCTGAGACCCTTGGCTCCACGCACTGCCCTCGTGTCATCCAATACCGTGGCCAGCTAGACTGTACCTCCAGGAAGGGGCTGGAAGAACCTTCTCCCTGAGGAATTTAACTATCCTGAGAAATCAGACCTACAGAAAACAAGTTTCAAGGATTCCCTGGGGTCCAGATGGTATCCCCAAGACTTCCCCTCAACTTCATGCTTCTTGTAGTTTAGTATGAACACTGAAAAGTACAGACGAGCTGAATGAACAGTGCAAGAATCACCCTTACACTCAGTACCCGGGTTCAGTCATTGCTAACATTTGGCTATATTTGCACGCGCGCTCTCTC